TTTGTAAAATTGATAGAGAAAGACAATGTTCTATTCTAAACAACCCAAATCAAACATCACTCCATTCTCAACCACACCACCTTTAGTATTCATATTGTTTTTTTTTTCAACTCATTCAATTTTTATACTAAATTGAACCCAGAACATTCTAGACGCTTGTTTGATAGATAAATAAACTGTCTACAAAGCTAAACAACTAATAATAATAATAATAATAATAAACAGGCTTAGCGAACCGGAAGGTTCGATGCCGACACCAACCAATCGAAAGCTAAACAACTAAAATACGAAAAACAAATCTCAACAAAAAACAAAGTAGCTCAGGCAAATAAATGTTACTTTGGAATCTGCTGGCATTTAAGAAGCAAACTTATATTGTGGTAAACGAAAGTGATCCTCTGATTATATAAAGAGATTATATCAAGATGCTCAACCAGCCTGTTCTCACATACGGCTCAGATGCTACTAAGAAAACCGACAAAAAATTGCTGTTAATGTGTGAGAGAAAGATTTTACGGCAGATAAAAGTACCTTCAAGAGAGGGGGCAACCTGGAGAAGGCACTCCAATGTGGAGCTAACAAATTTATTTGAGGAATATCTATGTCGTGTTAGGATGATAAAGCTGGGTAGGCTATGCTGGGCAGGACAAGTGGCCTTAATGACAGATACAGAATTATTCAGAAGAGTAGCAGAGGAAAAAGTGCAGCGTACAAGAAGACACCAGAAATCTATTAAATGACCGCAACTGGAGAGCTGCCACACTAGACAGGGAGGACTGGTGAAAGCGTACCGAGGAGGCCAAGCCCATTGATGGGCTGTGGTGCCGGGAAAGAATAAATTAATAATTTGTTAAAAATGGGTCTGTACCACAGACTATTAAAATAATACCCGAGGTATGGTAGGAACTGAAGATATGGTGACTGATTTCACTGCGGTATGATGTACACCAATGATAAACATAATGCTACATGCGTTTATAAAAGACAATAAAATAATTTATAATCTAAATATTTCTAATCAGAGGACAAAATCAGAAAAAATGGAAAGATATTTTTTGGATGGAAGTTCTGAAGATATAAACACTATTTTAAGGTAAAAGGTATAAGATAAACAAAGGTATGAGCATGATGATGAGAAGTGCTGACCGAGTCTACACTGTAGTCATGTAGCTCTGTCTCCACCCCTTTTCTATAAGGTTAACAATCTTTGCAAATATACATCAGAAAAATTTGGCACTTTTTGCATCTTTATTTCTACAACCTAATCTTTACAGGTGAATAAAAACTGAAAATTCATGCCAGTACCCAATTCATTGTAGGCAAGAATTTTGATAAATTCAATATTTCATACCATAATTAAAATTTAGGTCTCCTCTATTAGGCTTCCCCTTGACATCCATTCGAGAGGCTATAACATGAATCAGAAATAAATTTAAGACCACAAAGTGATTGTCTAATGTACAATTTTTCTATTGAAACTTACAATCCGAATTCTCATCTATTCTTTCTTCTTTTATAAAAATTTCAAGCGGCATACTTGTAGCTAAAAGAACAAAAAAAAATTATAATACATTATTTATATTAACTCTACACATATACAGGCACTAACAGTTCAATACAAATCAATTTAAATGTGCTTTATTATTAAGTATGTATTATTATCTATTTTAGCTCCGAGAAGAGATGTATATTCTATTAAAAAATATACATTAAAAAAAGAGGAATGAAATTAAATGAAAAAATAATTTTATTCTAGGACTACTGTCCCCTAAGAATAATAACAGAGTTACAAATTTATGTATCTTAGTCTGACACAATAAAAATACCAACTAATTTATTGTTAATTGTTATTTCACTTGTGCAATGGATAGAAATTAAACATTGTATAGATGCAAGTAATTTTACATGTCAGAGGGAAGTTAGAATGTGGAGTTGGTGTTGGAACAGGAGTTGTTTGAAGGAATTTGTGGATGAGGATTGACGCATGGAGGTAGGAAGTGAGTTCCATAAGGAAGCAGCACGAATGACGAAGGATTTGCTGAAGGAGGAAGTTTTATGGGAGGGAATATATAAGTCTATAGGTTGAGACCTAGTATTGAGAGAGTGGATAGAGGAGCGCAGAGTAAGGAGTTCCAGGATGTAGGGAGGGTTTTTGGTTCTGAAGACTTGGAAAAGGAAAACACCAAGGAGGAATTGTCGTTGGGAAGTAGGATAAAGCCACTTCAACTCGGTGTACCAGAGTGAAACGTGAACGCCTGGGGATCCCAAAAATGTATCTTATGAAACAATTCATGAGTCTCTTTAGTCTCATTTCCAGCCTGGCAGATAGCCCACCATACACCAAGCAGCCGTAGTCGAAGTGGGGGAATACAAGGGAGGTTACAAGGAGCTGTCTGGTTTTTAGAGGAATACAATCACGGAATCTTAGGAGTTGTTTAAGGGCAGTTATGGATTTTCGGGTAATCTGGGAGATATGATTATTCCAGGAGAGGTTCTGGTCAAAGATTACTCCTAGGTTTTTGACAGTAGTGAAAAAATGGATGGGATGGTTATTGAGGTTAAGTAGAGGAAAGTAAGGAAGGGAGCTGATGAGATGTCTGGACCCGATGATAATAGCCTTAGTTTTATCTGCATTCAGCTTTAATTCATTTATTTCTGCCCATCTGTTGATGCAGTCGATGTCCTCTTGTAGCCTCCGGGCAGCCTCAGACATCTCAGAAGGTTGGAATGATTGGTATATTTGGAAATCATCGGCATATAGGTGGTAATTGGAGTGTTGAATGGTGTTAGGAAGGTCACTAATATAGATGGAGAAATGGATCGGGGAGAGTGAGGAACCCTGAGGAACACCTTGCATTAATTGAAGGGAGGATGATGGAGGTTTATTCGGTATTGTAACTGTCTGAGATCGATTGGATAAGAAGGATAGGAACCATTTTAGGACGCTATTTGATATGGGCAGGCTTTGGAATTTGGAAAGAAGGATCTCATGATTATGAATGCTGACTTTTGTTTCATTTGAAGTTAAATTTGATATACAATCATTATAACAAAAAAAAATTATAATGCCATATAAAGATAACTATGCAATATAAAGGTTAGCAAGTAAACTTATTCTTGCCACATAAACAAACATTATAAAAGTTTTAATGCGGTAATTACTATATTACTTCATAAAAAATTAAATAAAATTGTATAAGCGACTTTAAAATTATAATACAAAGAATATAAGTAACTTTATTTCTTGTGAAGTCACATTTTTTTATCTGTCATTTTAAAAATTTGCATCAACATGGAACTTCCTCATCAACTTTTGATTTACATATTGCACAACATACTATAGATATTGAATTAGTATTCACTTACTAGAAAGATCCATTATATGATACAAATGTTTCCTTTTTTTTTAACTGTCAAAATAAAAGTTCAACATAACCTGCAATATAATAAACAAATTCTACATCAAAAACAGTACTATAGAGGTAGAGTTATCCAAAGAGAAATATTCAACAAAGTTACATCATTTAGAGCTATTGAATTCTACAATATTTCATATATAACTCTTTTACAATGCTGAAATTAAATTTTTAAAGCAAATATTTTTTCCATCTAATTTACAATAAAATTTGCACAGTTGATAAATTAAGGTATTTCGGGTAAATTAGAAAACTCATTTGGCTGGAAAATCAGACTGTTTTGAAAACCATTTAGAAACCAACATTATGGGTGATCGAATTTTATATTATTGTAAATTTTACTTGTTCTTTTCTTAGCTAAAGAAATTAAAAATAGTGACAGTAGTTAGATATGGGTGTAATAATATTTGAAAATGACCCAAGTGCTGGATGTAATACACAAGAACAAATACGTGCTGGCCGCAGTGCATACAAGTTGGCGGAAACTTTGTCTAGTAAAATAAATGGTGTAAAATCAATAAAGGAATGTTTCACAAAGTGCCTTGGTTTATGAAAAAAAGAACGTTTTGACACCATAAATAGGAAAAATGAGTGGAAAAAGGAATTTTTCAGTCTATGCATTCATTTTAGGTTGAGTGTATTCCATAAAGGAATGAGAATGATTTTTGGAATCAATTGAAACTAGGTAATCCTTATTTCCATCTTGATTATTTGGTAGGATACATCTTCGTCGTTAAATTGGTAGAATTAATTTATATACGTCACTGCTCTTTCAATTAAATATTAATTGCTATAATATTCACTTCAGTGGTTTAGGTTAGTTCCATAGTAGATCATAATAAGCAATTGAGTTTCATTAGCCGTTACAACTTTTCATTCTTTAATTTGTACAAACTGAATAACTCGTCGTTCTGATCCGGTTGAATACGTTTATTTGATGTTTCTGAAATATGTTGAGGGAATTTTGGTACAAAGTACATGATGCCTATGTTTTCTAAAATAAAATCGATTCATTATTGTAGTTAAAAAAAAATTGAACATACTTATTTTAAATTGCACAACAAACCAATAAAAAAGCCTTCATTCTGAAGTACGCTACCCGCACACCTAGAGCAGTGAACCCTTTGAAAGGAGACACGGAGCTGGTTGTGCGTTGGAGGAGGTACTATCTGCTATTATCCTCTCTCGTAATTGTAAATTTATTTTCTAGAAAGTTATTATGTTGTCAACAACAGTTAGTTTTCCGTCAAAAACTTAGTTTTATTATAAATTTCTTAAATAACTTCTTTTTTTTTCACTGCATCAGTAAATATGTTGAAGTAAATTACTTTTTATTTCTTATAAAATTGCACTTTCTAGGCGTTAGACATTACACAACTACTTATTTTAAACAGAAAACAAGGCGTTCGTAAACTCTTATTATTGATTACATAAGAACTCAAAAATCATATGAATTATCTATTTTATTAAATTTGTATGGATTATCGATTTTTACTTCATAAATTTTTTTGTTGACAGAAACAAACATTATATATATACACACACCCACAATTAGTGAGATGGAATTTTATGCTGTATTCAAAATATGGAGTATTTTAAAAGTTCTAGGATTGTAATGCGTGAGAATAGAGGGATGTAAGATTGTAGAAGAAGTTACGAGGTTTTCCTAAATATAAAAGTAAACTTTATAAACTATAACGAGTAACTGAAAGTAAAGAAGTTAAAAATAATTGGGATAAATTTAATTTTTTTTTAATGTATTTCTGCATGAGATCAGCACAAATCAATTGTTTATAAATCATATTTTTTTTTCTTTTCCCAGTTGTTAAAGCCAGCAATCCTCTGGTTTCCTATACCTCAGGTCAGCTGAGGATATTTTGAACTTGGCCAGAACGTCCCTAATTTCTTTAGGAACTCGATCGGAGGAGAACTTTAAATCTCGACGCCCCCATATTTCAACAATCTCTAAAAAGAAAAAGTAAATTTAATAATAAATAAATACAACATGATATAAAATATAGATAAAAAAATAATAAACGAGTCATTTCACAATTTATGTCACTGGACAGATATAATCAAATCAAAACTAAAAGAAGCTAATTTTTTTTTTTATCATGATCTTTTGTATTCGTACTTATCATTCAATGTTAAGTAAAATGTTTAATTATATTGTAACGAAAAATGAAATACAAAAAAAATATAAAATGATTGCTAATGTTATTATTAACTTGAAGAGGGTTAAATATAAAATTAAGTATTTAGTATTAGTTTTAATAATAAGTATTAGTTTATAATAAGTCTTAGTTTTAAGTATTCATTTTATTTCGGATTGGAATAACCAACAGCTGATTGGGAGGAAAAACAAAAGACAGTTGAGAGAGAGAGATGGCGGAACCTCGCGATTGTTGAGGCACGCTAAAGGTTTGGTTGTGTGAAATACTTTAGTTTTATGGTGTACACCGGAGTTTCCTTTCCTATCCATGAGCCTGTGATCATCAGCGAAGAGTGCTGCTTGATTTTACAATTCGATGAATGAACATTTCACAGCTTGAGGAGATAGGCTGGGGAGACACTGACGACGCTAGTTCGAATAAGTTCCCGCTTCTTCAGATAACCCAATGTGCCACAATTGGGCAGAGTTCAACAAGTGAGATATTGTAAATATGCACATATAAGTTTTTTTTCCTATGTATTTTTTCCCCAAATATTTGCAATTGGTTTATTGTATAGTCGTAAGTTAATGTTTAGTTCTTTAATAATTTTATAATCTTTTCTTTGATAATTAAAGTTAATTGTATTTTCTTTGTTTTCTTATAATTCTAATTTCTTGTTCATAATTTTCATTTCCTTTAACAGTTATTTAAATCAATAGAAACAAGTAAATTCATCATTAGTATTAATAATAGCCAGTTTTATTTTCTTCTTCTGATTGTTTTCATGTTTTAGGTATATATTATATTGTATTTATTTTGGTTTAATAAAGAATTGTAAAACCCTATTCGAGGGATTAGGAAAAGTCATTATTAACCAAGTAAGAAGGTTCGATAGGTTATGAGGTTATTAACATATGTTTTTAAACCCAAAGGTTCCGAGTTCGTAGCTCACTCCTCATCCTAATCTTTTTTTTTTTAATTATTCATTTAATTTTTTTATTAATGGTTTTCGCTATTTTCCAAATTCAACAAATTAAATAGCGTGGCGCCTGTTAGATAATTAGTAATATTTAATTGACTCTTGATTATTATTATTTTTTTTTTTGCGAACCCTGCCGTCTCTACTGAGCATCCGGCAAGTTTGTTGCGAAAACAATTTTTCTAAATTTAAGACAATATAAACCAGAAAAAAATATATTGAAATGCCTTTTTCTCACTCTAAAATACTGTCACAACCCAGACTGACAGTAGTACTGACTATTATAATATTTAAGCTGCATATCTTAAAATATGTAATGAGCGGGCTTAACAATTAGTATTATAGTGAAAGGACATGAGGAATAATCTCGATATTAATATGAAGAAAAAATATTTATTAACGCCTTTGCTGACAGACGCATCTTCAAGAGTGGCACAGCTGTCGATTAGCAAAAGATAAATTAAATTGAGAAATTAATATTTATTTTTGGAAATATGTTATAGAGTTCTGAAAAAAAAATAACTTATCATCTAATCAAGTTTTGGGATAAGATAATTGCCACAATTAATAAGTTAGATTAAACCACTTTCTTTTCTTCTATGATTTTACCTAACTCATATCGATTATAACATTATAATCAATTATGTTATATTTTCATAATTATTTATTATATTTTCAATTATATGTTGATAAGAAATAGTTCTAAAGTCTAAAATTTCAGATAAGCCTTCTAGAGAAATTCAGGGAAATTAATTAGTTTTAAATTATCATGTTCTGATATTTTCGGTATTGTACATCTTAGAATTTTATAATTTAATTATATCTTATTAATCTTAAGTTTATTTATAACTTAAAATTTAAAGGACAAACCTGAAAGAAAGAAAATTTCCTTGTGACAGTTGTAGAGGACGACGTATTGCTCATAGTCGGCCGCTATCATTTGTAAATTAAGAGTTCCTAAAGCTGAAACAAATTTTAGCTATTTTAAATAAACTAAAATAATGTTATAAAGACATAACGTTCGGGCTACCAAATAATTGTGGGCGAACTGTATTAAGATTTATTATTTAAATTTAAGTATTCACAACGATAAACATTTTTTTAAAATTAATAATGTATTATTAATAAATTTAATTTTAAAAAATATATACTTACAATACCAGGACCTGTTCTTGAGCTCTAGGATTGATGTTGGTTTGAGATGCTTTACGACGTCGTAGTCTTTTATGGAATGCTTTCGCCAAAAATGAAGCTGTTTTTTGAAGGACTCTACGTGTAGTCTGTTCCCGTTATTGGTAGTATTTTTTACAGTGATATTTTTGCACCTTTCATTCCACTCGGGTTTATTAGCTAACATTATCCACTCTCCTAAAAACTTATTTGACAAATGACTTATTAGTTTTATGCTTAAAACGATTAGCTGGTTTATATAGATGTATGTATATATAAGTATGTACAAACATATAATCGTTTAACTAAATTAAAGTATAAGCTATATTGTATTTATTTTTTTCAAGGCAATCAAGACAAATCATACTGTCGTTGGCCTAAAAATTGGTGAAAAATATATATAAGTCGTAGTGTTTCTATTGTCAAGTATTACAATTATAATTTTCTTCTCAGTAGTATGCATATTTTTTTCAGTTTGATGTAATTATTTATTTGTTTACTTTTATTTCTTGTCAACATATTTTTTATATAAAGCTTATTATTAGCGTTGGATGAAAAATAAATTGAATTTACATATTTAAAACAAAAAATCGCAATTTTTCTCTATTTAACATAGAGTAGTGATGGCACGGAAGAATGTTTTCCTGGAGATGAAGTTGTACAATTAAAGAAAGTTTATGAAGAGGCAGGTCTCAGGATAAACTTCCAAAAGACTGAGTGTCACTATATGGCACTGGGAGATGAGGAAGACGATCTTCGTATAGGTGATCAGATGTGGAATATAGTAAAAGAATTTAAATACTTCGGGTCCTACTTGGACGATGTGGGGACGTCCGAAGTGGAAATACGAAACAAGGTGGAGATGGCAAGAAAAGCAACAAGAATGCTCCATCCTTTTCTCTGAACAACACTATTCCAAATGTGGACAACCGACGTATCTTCACAGCTATTGTCGAGTCCATATCAACCTACGGATGTGAGGCATGGTCGATGAATGATAGCTTATAACGAGACTGAGCAGAGTCCGAAATTTAGTGGTGAGACAGAGAATAGGTCTAGAGGAGACCGCCTATGAGAGGATCGGGAAACGGCGGTTGAGGTGGTATGGACACTGCAGGAGTGTGCCGGAAGAGCATTGGCCGAACAGAGTCCTGGAATGGCAGCCACCCGGAAAGCGTATGCGAGGACAACCCACAACCACATGGATGGAAGGAATCCGAGAAGAGATGGCCGACCAAGGTCTACAGGAGGGTGACTGGGAGGATTGAGATGTGTGGAGCTCTGCTCTCACGTGAAGAGATATCCCACGGTGGAACACCGGAAATGTAAAGGAAGTAAATTATCTTGTCAACATTTTGTTTATATAAAGCTTATTTATTAATAGCGTTGGCTAAAAATAAATTGAATTTATATGTTTAATACGAAAAATCGCAATTTTTCTCTATTTAATATATATCCCAGGAGAATCAACGGGATAGAGGAAATTTCGGGCTAAAGACCTCCCAAAATGGTAAAATTTAACAATGTTTTATGAGAAAAAAAAATCTCTAAAAGTATTATGGTTCGTATTATTACATTTAATAGGACTTCAAGAATCACTTAAACACCATTTTATATCGGCAGTTAGTTTCTTTGTTCTTTCAAAGTAATAATCGTTATATATATTTTAAAAAAAAGCTTTCGGGCAGAAGCCTCCTCCCCCAAAATCAAATTCCGGGTCCGTTAATGATATAGATACAATTTATAAGAAGAAGATTTATCAACCACTTGCTTGCTCACGTGATAGAAATAGGATTAAATTAAATAAATTGGAAGGGCGAGGCAACTAAGATTATGCGTACGTTTTTTTGGCGATTGCTTTGGAGTCGATTGGAAAGGATCGATTGTTTCTATCGATATAACAATAATAAACAGCTTAAAAAACTGAGGATATGATAAAATTAATATAGATTTAAACAGCTATATTAACGCCATTTCTTATACTTCATTCTTTCTTCTGATTTTTATATACTTCCATTTCATTTGTTTCTGTTTATTACAGTTTTTTAGTTCCAAAGAAGACATAGCAAGTGGACGTATAAACTTGGGCATATTTCCTTTAGTCCGAAAATTCATAAACCCGTCGAAATTTGCTTCTCTCAAAAATTCTAAAACCCGTCAAAATATGCCATCCTCAAAAATTTTGTTGGCGCATCTTGCGCCATGAAACCCCCTTCTGGGCACTCCTGACAAGACAGTTACCTTTATGAAAAAGATCGTTATTTGATCTTAAGGAACAAACAAAAAAGTAATAAGAAAAAAATATCGTTCTCCACTTTTTCTTTGGACGTTTATTTTATTTTTTTTCAATTTTAACAGAACATTGTTTGATATACGGCATGACTATATTCTAAAAATATAATATTTTTCCAAGAAAACCTTCTTTTACACATTTTAAATGTTTGTCGAAATGTATACAAGATATTTCAAATTTAATACTTTTATTGTTAATTCTGAATTCACATGGAATTTCCTTTTTCTACAAAAAAAGGTTGATCCAAGGATTGCGACTGGGAGAACAAATCCACTACCCAGTGAAGAAATAAATAAATCAATCATCATTTTAAAAAATAAAATAAAAATTATATACAAAATAAGAGACACTTGAACAAGGATTTATAAATATTGTATTCAAGTTTTTGTATTTCTTCGAATAAACGTCATAAGAATATTCATTCATAAATGCAAATTTAAAAATGTCTATATTTTAATATCGGCAGACCTCGATGGCCTTTTTAGTGTACCTAATATAAGTAAATATTTTTTATCTTGAGAACCCATTATTTCTCCAATTTTTGGCACACCTTTAGCTACCATGTGTTACAATAACATATATTTAAAAATAAATAAAAATTAAAAGTTTTTTTAAATAAAAAAAAGTTTTAGTTTTCATAAAAATATAATATTTGTAGAATATAGTCATGCCAAATATCCAAAATAAAGATCATAAAGAACCGAAAAATATGACACCATTTTCAGCTTTCTAGGTCAAATAGTTCTTGAGGAATGACCCAAAATATATTAAAAACGCAACGTCGTTTTTCGAGGGTTTTTTATGTAATCCGGAAAATCTAAAATTTTGTTTTTTTCTTTATATTATTGCATTCAAGAAATAATCAAAAGATCATCAAAATCCAAGACCCTCTGAATGAGGACCTGGTTTATTTGACATTGAATAACCGAGTTGATCTTAAACACCAACTTATTTTACATAAATAGGTTTAAACAATATGTAATAACTAGAAGAACTGTTTCGAGACTCCTTGATACATTTTAATATCATATTTCACTTATTTTATTTGGTAATAATTCTATTTTTTCTATTCCAATATTTAATTTTAACACACATTGAGTTACACCATATCAAAAATGATGCTATTAGAATAAGGTACAAAAATTTGTTAGTACTGAATATGAGGTAAATTAAAACTTACTTTTTGATAATCGATTTCTTTGACTGGTAGGTTTTGAGGTGTTGGGCAGTTGATTGCTTTTGTGAATGAAAATACTGCAAATGCCAGAACTATAGTGTAGGCTTTCATCTGGGAACAATTTATTTGAAAAAAATTAAATGTATTGATCAATAAATAAATAAATAATAAATGGAACGAATTATCTTCCAATTTTGTAGAAATGGAAAATTAAATTAAAATAACTCAAATTAAACTTATGTCATTAAGGTTCATATCTGTATTAAAGAAACTTAATCTTAGATTCAACATTTTCAAAGGATGCCTAGTGATACGATTTCCTACATCCTTTCAAAACCATAGTAAGAATTGTGTAGGAATTATTCCTTCAAAAATACTGTATATTTTTTTTTTCGATATAAATGTAAAGACACAATTTTTATCGCAATAGAAAAGATATTTATTACAATTAAAATATATTAGCAAAAGAAATTCTGTGTTTCTTACTTACTTTGACGCCTCAGAAGTCGGATCGGACTTAGGTATAGGAAGAAAAATCGTTATTTAATAGTCAAACGTTATCTAATCTATGGACACAGAAGAGAACACGATCCTATACTCAAATAATGGAAGGATTAAATTAGGACTGATTCATTTCTGTGTTCACAGAATTCAAGCAAGTGAAACACATTAATCGATTGCGATACTGCCCAAATACATCCGGTTGCGAAGAACATAGTAATCCGTTTATAGACATAAAAATTATAATATATTCTATATTACAGCAAATGTGAACCTTTTTTGGAGTGATTTTTATTCGGTAAGTTATTTTTTAAAAGTATAATAAATACAAAGACCTGAATATCTCGGCAAACATCAGAATCCAGAGATTGGAGTGGTTTTGGTCATTTAATGAGAATGGACGAAAACAGAATTCCAAAAACACTTTTACCATTCCAAATCTCCTAATAGACTATTACCCTATGATTAAATAGAGAAGTTAGATGTTTAATCGCTGCCTACATACTCCCATTCACTGGATATACTGTATTATAATATCTTAAACTAAAATTTGAATACTTTTTTAGAATAAGCAAGATCTTCTTTTGTATTTTAAAATGAAAATATAGTTACAAAAAGTCTACTTTATGTGTTACTTCTTAAAAAGCAAAATACAAAAAAAAAAATTTATTTAAAAATATTTCATTAGAAATACTGCCTAAGATCAGGCTTCGGTATACCCCTCGAACGCTTACCAGGCGGACCAGTGCAAATTAACCTTTTAGGAATTGTTGGATTGGATAGTGGCGAATCTACTACCTCAATTATATTTATTATTATTGTATCCACGACTATTAGAAATACTAACAGTCAGACAAATAATTCCTGACCATAAATTCGGATTCAGAGAACTACACAACTCGATAACACAACTACACAGGGTAACTAACTACATATCGATAGCAATAGAGCGAAATTATATGCAACTGGTGTATTTCTGGATGCCACCCAAGCATTCGACAAAGTTTGGCACCAGTGACTTCTCTTCAAGCTTAAGACCATACTTTCACAAACCTACTATCTAATTCTTCATTCTTTTCTCTCAGACCGATTTTTCTCAGTACGACATGGTTTAGGTCTATCTCTTCGACGAATATTAGTTGGTGTACCTCAGGGATCAATCCTAGTCCCATTACTGTACATCATTTACATACACATTCCTCAAAGTAACCACTGCCTTACAGCAACATACGCAAACGACATTGCAAACATTACTAGACAAGAAAATATTTCACAGGCCTCAGTTAACTTACAAAAAATATAAGATTGGCAAACTTTGGAAGACCCAAATAAATTATCAAAAGTTCCAACATATTAAGTTTACTTTAAGTCCTGAAACATGGCCTCCTGCTTAGATACTTAGACACCCATTACACAAACGGACAGAGTACAGTATTCATGACTGACGTTTAATAGCAGAATGACACGGGGTCCACATGCTAAGAATAAACGTGCCACTTAAAATCGAAGACTTAAATTATTGCACTTATTCTTGAGACGACATTTAAAATCAAAAGCCAGACAAAACTTAAATATTTACACATACCTATTAAAACCTTTCTGGCCTAGCGGATAACAAATAAACGGGATTTCAAAGCTGACGCGTATAAAAAAAAACTTCAGACTTTTCAGTCCAAGATACTGCAACAAATTAACCAAGCACCCTGGTACGTGAATAATAACACTTTAAACACTGACTTAGACATCCTGACTATCAAAGAATACATACTGACGTACTAAAACGATACTATATTAAGTCAAAAGGATATTCCAACCAGCTGATTTAAAAAAAAATGTCCACAATTCTTATACCGGAGGATACCAGAAGACTGAAAAGGGTCTGGATGAGGGACCTACTTACATAGTTATGTAAGTAAATTAAAACTGCGGAAGGGGTACCACTGAGTACTGATTTTCTTCATGCCTATCAAGCCACTTTGTTTTGTTTCTTCTTTTTTCTCATTATCTTTATATACAGCAAATGTAATTAACAGATCCGGCTTGAAAAATACAAGCGAAAAAACATTACTAAATTCAACTGCTATTGACAAGGACAATTTCCTGTTGGGATCAAATGCAGCTACAGAAGTCCGGTTATTTGTTTTTAATGCGTCTGTATAGAGTTGTAGATAATTAGGGTATCGTTCCATGATTTTGTTCAGCGCTAGTTTTAAGTAAATTGACGGGTATCAACTATGAATATTAATTAAAGATATGGGAATGGGAATTGTTTATTCCAGAGAAGCTTCAGAAATGAGTAGTGATTCCAAAGGATCATACATTTTGCCAACCTTGGTTTGATCTAGTATAGTAGGAAATAGTTATGGTACCTGTTGTACACGTATATATTTTTGTTTCAATTGTGTAAGATTTCTATAATGGGGAGGTCAAATCTCATATCTGCTTACATATTTTGTTATAACCCAATGATATTGTTTTTCGTACTTAAAAGTTGCAGAAACTCTTTTAATATTTTGGTTTATGATTTTCAATAATCAACCTTTGTAATCGATCAAGAAAAAGAAAGTTAACCCCACTCAAAATTTGACCTTTCACATAATATCTAGAATCCAAAAATGGAATAAAATAAAAATAATACGTCTGCCGGCGGCTTTTCTCCGAGATTAAAGGACCGATTGTGACATTGGTATCAATGTCGAAGGACACCCGAAGATAATCCTCGGAACTCGGCATTACTATCCGTCTTTTCCTTTCGACAAGACGACCGAAAAACTTTTTTTTTTTTATGAAACTTGTCTCTTTATTTGAAGTCCTTTAAATTTATCTATATAGCATACTTCAACGAAAAGAAGCTAGAAAAAAAGTAACGAAGGTAATAAAATTAGATTTTCCAATAACTGAAAAAGTATACTCTTTCTTTGTCGTTGTTGTATAGTCATTTAAAAATTCACAAAATATCTAAAAAAAGTATCGTTGAAATCAGACGATTTGGTACAAAGACATGTTGTTCTAAATATTTGCTACATGTTCTGCTGCAAAATTGGCATTCTTTGTTTTTATTTTTGTTAGGTCTTACATAACCTAAGCAATTGAGATTGTTTTTTTCTTCTTTTTAACAAAATTGTAATAATTGTTCAGACCCACATTATGAATCACTTTTTAGTTATTTTCCTGCATATAACAAGGAAAGTAGTGTGACTTCCATGATATATAACGGTTTGTAAATAATAAACCATCGTGTAATAATTTTCAGCATTTCCTTTTTTTTTTCTAATATGAACATAATTAGTTTTGTTCTACAAAGGTTTTAAACAATTAGCCTTTATTTTATTTTTGTTTTTGCCTTTAATTACTTTTTAGCTGTCTTTTGATGAACACCAGATTCATTGGCTAGGTACGTATTTGCATTTTAGAGACATAGGGACAGACAAAGCATGATCTGGTCTTAGTTCGTTAGGGTTATTAAAATTATTTGGGCTTTAAATAGATCAAGAAATAATCCCCAAAGATGTCTTTTTCAGTTTTAAATGTTTACACACACAGTTAAAGAAGCTTTCTACACTTTAATTTGGGGCGTAACGTACTTGCAAGGAACAATAACTTGTAAGAGAAGGAATCAAAGTTTCAAGATCGTGACGTCACAATCCACCAACTCGCTTAAGCAAACAAGCAAGTACATTACGTCCTTTAATTAGAGCACACAAGGTTATGTATAGGTTAGAGTTGATTTGCAGTTTTTTTAAAGAAAAATTATATTTACGTCAAACTTCTTATATCCTGTAAAATTGAAGGATGACATAATAATTTAAGGAAATGCTGTTGTAGAAATGATACATTTAGAGTTAACTTATTGATTGATGATATTTGATCAGTTAATCTTGCTTTTCAGTCCCTTATCCTTCTGAAATCCATTTCTTGGAAAAACAAAAATCTATGACTGAGGAAATTTAATAATAGTAAATCTGAAAACAAATAACATTTTTTAAGAATGACCTTTAGCACAAGCTATCAATCCATATATGTCGAAATGTTGAAACATAGGAAGAAAACTTTTAGTTGCACATTATAATGTCAAACTTCGGTAATTAATTTCTGGCTCTGGCCCCTAAAATAGTGCCTTTTGCAGAGGGTATTCAAATGGGTAACAATTGTATTATTTCATGCTGAAATGAAACTGTGTACCCTCCAGATCCCAACAATTAAATTTGGGAGAGAGGAAGAGGTCCTACTAAAAGAAAAAAAAAATCAAAATCCACCATTAATCCCTGGATAATGCATTTTGATATTCAACCAATATCAAGGAAACATATATTCTTATGAAAATAACCATCCTGATCTACTTAGCAGTAAATTTTATCAGCTTCAATTTGAACACTAATATAATTGTTATTTAATAGTTTCAGAGAAACTTCTTAGGAAAAGATTTTTGGGTTTCTACTTTAGAATACATGGGAACTGCAAGAACAAAGATAATTAGTTACTATTGGTAAAAGTGGTACAGCAAAGTTTTTTGTCATCATGGATGGGTGTAGTTTCATAGATCTCTAAAATAAAAATTGAGATTATAACTATATAACACTCTAATTTATACTATCTTAAGCTGGGTATCCATTATGTTCATGAACATCCTAGTGCACTAGATGGCTATATTTTTGAAGTAATTCAAAGGGTAACTGAGGAAGTTTATAGATCAAATACATTTGTAACTTGTAACAATATGCAATAGAGTAGAGGGACAAAAATGTCCTCTTACTGAAAAATATTCAATTTCGTGGAACCTTAAGAGATTCAAATTATAAAAAAAGATGCTGGAAGTACTATGCAATTACTTGATACATCTATCAGGAATTCGAAGAGATAAAATGAAAACCAAGAAGAGTAAAAGAACAGAGAAGGATAATTATTAGTAACAAAAAAAATCAATTATTAAGTTTTGGAGAACTGCTTAGTGACCATGTTCGCAAACCTCTCCCCATAAACAGCAGGGCTGAGTGCCATTGGTTCAAGAATGTAATGGATACAGTGAAATATTTTTTAGTATACTTCAAAGAAATTAGTAAGTTTTTTCAGCAGGTATTACTCTGAATGTTGTTCCTGCGAATTGCAGTTTTAATAGCTTATACAACATACCTTTGTACAAAACGAAACGCAATTAATAGAATAAATTTTATAATGATGTAGAGTTGGTTGACCGTTGATATGATATGAGAAGGAATTAGTCGAGGGTGCGGTCAAAAAAAAAAAAAATAAAAAAATTAAAATATATAAATAATTTTAATTTTTGCCGACGTTTCTTTATTTTATTTTTTTTTTACGTTTCTTTATTTATTTTTTTTTTTTTTGACCGCACCCTCGACTAATTCCTTCTCATAGAATAAATTTTATTTTAGTTATTTAACCAACAAATAAAATATCCTGAAAGAAAGCTTAGAGTATCTCAAAAACTAGTAGAACAACTTAACAGTCATTGTTTCAGGCAATCAGACCTCCACAGAAATAACATTTAAGGAGCTCTAACCACAATTTCTCCAGCCTAGTAAATTGAGAAAAAAACCTCTTATAGAAAATAAAGAGAAGAATAGTTGGGGTGGTTAGTCAAAAATAAATTATAATATTTATTTTTTACATGTGGTATATGTAAAAAATAAATATCATTTATTTCTGCCTTCCTTTTTGACTGACCACCCCAACTATTCTTCTCTTCATTATCCAGGACAGTCAACCAATTACCAATTATATTATAGAAAATATTGAAGTAGTTGGTTTCTCTTGGCTGGATCAAAATTAACTTAGTATGGTTATTTTCTAGGCAGAACACCAAAGAGATAGTGTCTTGTTATTGACTTTGATCAATATTTTCCTGTTTTTTTCCCCTATCTCTACGTTCCCTTCAAAAAGTTAGTGGGTTGAAATTTTGTAAGTTAATTGAGTATGAAGTGTCTTTATTTGCCTGTCCATGTTCCTTCATTTTATAAGGTTTTGTCTTCTTCTCTGGAACCTCTTTTTATTTAATTAGAAGAGGGATTAAAGGGAATGCAGGAAAAATTGAACAGAAAAAAGTATCAAAGGAATAAAGAAAATGTGAAGGAAGACAAAGGAATAAGAAGGAAATTAACTTATATAAGAGTAGTTCTTGGTTTTGTTTGGACAAGTTGGAATAAACAAAATTATGAATTAAACACCACTATTAGGAGAGCTTATTTCTTTGACAGAAGAATCTTGGGAGGATATATAAATATAGATATTAAAAGACTTTAATTTTAAATTCGGAAGTGATATATTTTAAAAATTTACATCCAGATTAAGGAATCAAACATATAAATAAAGAAGTTCTTCATATCTTCATCACCGTCAACTATGTGACCTCAGTAAGTCTTTTGTTTCGAAGTGCCGTTTTCTTCGAAATTCGATATTTATATTTCCTTAGCATAGGAGTATATTATTTCTTGAATAGTAACGGCTCTCATTATCCCAGTCCAAATATTATTAGATCAGGGCCAACAAAAATATAAGCCACCAACAGTGGATCAATATCAGGATCATCTGCAACATAAATTTCCATCAATTCTCGATTTTAAGACATACTTTTATAATTGTAAATAATTCATTATAAAATGTAACCAGCTCATTTATAATAGTTAAAATCAAATAGAAAAAAAATAAACATATTACTTACAAAACACTGAAAGAACTCAGGTATATTTAGAATAAAAATATGATAACTGTCATAATAGACTAAGAGAACAAATAAATTTGTGGAAGTTTAAATACAACTATAACCAAATTTACATGGAATAAGCTGAACTAACGTGCGCATGTAAAATTCTATTAAATGTTCTGTTCCACAGACTATTGCCGTTTGCGGAGCGAGAGATTGGGCAGTTCCAGTGCGGGTTCAGACGAGAAAGATCAATGATCGACCAGATATTCTGTCTGAGGACCATCCTGGAAAAGGGACAGGAATATAAGTTCAAAACACACCACCTCTTCGTCGATTTTAAATCAGCCTACGACACAATTGGCTATCAAAAGTTATACGATGCATCACGCCAGTTCAACACCCCCTCCAAGCTTATTAGGCTGACCAAGTAACAATGGACGAGGTGGTGTGTGTTGTTAAAATAAAGGCCAACGTATCGGAGGAATTTTCTACAAGAAGGGGTGTAAGATAGGGTGATGCCCTGGCATGCCTCCTCTTTCTCTTGACCCTAGAAAAAGCAGTTAGTGAGTCCCAAATACAAACATCTAGCACGATCTACAATAGGACTGTTCAGCTCCTCGCTTTTGCTGACGTTATTGACATTATTGGGCGTCCTCGGCAAGCGGTTGCACAATCATCAGCGAGGAAACTCTGCTTAGTGTCAACGAGGAAAAAACTAAATACTTGGTAACTCAGGACATGGTACTAGGGTGAGTTTTGGACCCTTCAGGTTTGAACAGGTATCAGAATTCACATACCTGGGCTCGCAGATCACTGTTGATAACTGGATGGACACAGAGATAAATAAGAGGATTTCGCTGGCCAACCGTTGCTATTATGGTATGAGTCAACGCATGAAAAGCATCCTGGTGACTGAGCGTAGCAAAGTAAGCCTCTATAAGACCGGTTTTAAGTTATGCGTCAGAGACTTAGATGATGACCAAGGCAGCTGAGCAGGATTTCTAAATATTTGAACGAAAGATTCTAAGAAGAATTTATGGTCCAGCATGTGTGAATGGAGGAGGAAAAATCAAGATCTCTACCAGCGCTTTAATGAGACCAATATTGTCAATTTTATAAGAGCAGGCCGTCTCAGATGGGCAGAATGAAAGATGACATGATCCCAAATAAGGTGTTGGTTGAAATCCTGCATGGAGCGTGACGAGTAGAAAGACTAAAAGTTATGATGGAGGGACAGCGTGGACAAAGATGCCAGGAAGCTAGCAGTTCGAGACTGGATGGTGGCGGAGGCCACGACTCGCTAAGCAGGTTGTAAAGCCAGTAAAGATAGATAGAAGCTGAACTAACAAACTGATGTGGATTTCAGAATATTAGCAATGCATTTATACTGATAAAATAAATCGGACTACTCTTTAATCATTAGACATTTTTCTCCAGTGAGGCCATCGGTGACTAATTATTATCATTCTGTGTTTCTTGGGAATAAATTCCAGAAACCATCAAATGACACGCATGTATTATCTTCATATGACCATAATATAAACTGTCAGCTATATATGTGTTTTAATAACTTGAAAAATATAATATAAACAAAAAACAATACCCAGGTTGGACGATGTTCTCCCAAAAGAGCAATACAGCAAATAAATAGTAATCCGGGAGATTCAAAAACTCAGAATTCCTATGTTCAGCTCTTCTTTCTTAAAAGTCAATCATGATCCAGAAATCGTTTTTAATAATGACCATCCTGAAATAAGTTATTTTCTTTTAAAAGGATTAATAAGTGACTAGAGACAAAAACTTCAGTTCAATAAATAGATTTAGTCAGCATAAAATATTTTTTAAAAAATTAAAAAGCTCTCGTCACTAAAAAATAGATGAGTGAAATTCTAAGAGCCACCTGAAAATATTTTTTTCATGAAATATAAGAAACGTGGTGCTTTATTTTGATGGAAAAATTAATTTATTTTTTTTGTCATAAATTTTCGAAATACAAATCTGACAGTTCGTTAAATATTGTCCATATTCTAAAGCATATAAATTGGAAAATCACAAATTAATTTGCATTCCTAATAATTCCTGAATGATTTATTTATGTTGCTTTGATAACTTTGTTTGCATAGATTTATCAAGTTTTAATTTTTTCAGAATAAACAGAGGAGACAGCGTTAAGGCCCTTGGTTTAAGAAAAAAACTTAACAGCACAAAAAAGCTGTAGCGATCTCCTCTGGTGGTTGAAAACTAAACTAATTAACTACAATTTCTAGGACAAAGCTTTGGTTGAGAAACTTCATCATGGAATATGGCCTTGATAAATAAGATGTATCAGATAGGAGCAAAAGACCATTATAAACTTAAAATTCATTGGTTGTCCTCATTTGAACTATGTTATCATCATTTACATCTTATTAAACATCCTAGAGGGAAAAAAGTTGTACAAGTAAGCAACTTATATTTGGAGGAAAATATATTATTCCTTTAAAGTGAACATACATTTTCATGCTTTGCATTAGAAAGGAATATCCATCCAGCTTAGGGTTTTATTCCTAATTGAAAAAATTAACTGAATTGAAACATTATTACAATGATAAATTTCAAAATGAATGGAATTTCTTGCACAAGTCTTACTATTTGAATTTAAAAACAAATTTAATGACTTACGAATGATGGAAATTAAATTATATTCATATTAAACTAAATGCATTTAAAGGAAACTAAATTGATTGGTAAGTTTACCTCAGTTTATATTCATGTTCTTAGATGTTCATAGTCCAGAACGATTCAGTATCACAAAATATATTCATCTTGAAACTAAGTGTTCGCAGAATGTGGTTTAGTATACTTAGCTTGCACAAAGTATCTAGGAACATCAATATTTTCTTTTTTGTTAATAGTTCTTCTTTTAATGTACACATTAGAGATTTTTGAAAGCCCTCCTTCACGGAATAGCTCATCAACTTCTTCGATTGTAAAGAAATAAGACCTGAAATAGAATGAATGAACAATTGTAAAAACTTCATAGATATTAAGGTAATCAATAATTATGATATATCTGGCAAATATTCTAATAAGAGGAAGCTGTTTATTTGTTTAATAAATCAAGCCACGTCCTAGATAAGGTCCTCTTAACATTTTACCCTTATTAATGATTTAAATTAAATGTTAAATACCTCCTTGGCAAAGATATTTGGAGGGATCCAATGAATTTACTACAGACTCATGATGATAAGCCAAGGAGATGGGCTGGTTTGTTAGGTTTTTAACCTGGGGCTTGAGAAGGCCAATAGAAGAGATTTTAAGTTCCAGACATCCAGATACTCTAATGATCACCTCGTAAAATTCCTTGGATACGCTAACATCTATATTGCAGGAAGGTCATAAGAGGTTGTTAAGGATGCATTTAGAGCATTGAAGAATACTACCGTTAAAATAGGGCTACTGGTGAACTTCAGTAAAACCAAGTACCTTAATGTGAATCCCGTGGTGTCTAATCAGGTAAGAAAGATGATAATAGAAGGGCAGGTGGCTGATAACGTTGAGACTTTGATCTACCTTGGATCACAGAGGGTGAATGAAATAAATGATGTCGGTGAGGAAATCGAAAGGAGAATAATAGTTGCAAACAGCTGATGTTACTACAGAGAAATCTCTAAAGTAACCTTATACTGAAGCCCTCGAAAAATCTGATTTATAAAGCTCTTATACAACCTGTACTGACCTATGCCTATAAAACATAGACCTTCACTAAAGCAAAAGCAGCTTTGTTACTAAGTTTTAGAAGAATTAATGGGCCATTTTTTCAGAGTGGTGTATGGAGAACAAATGTAGAGTTGAAAGTTATATACAAGGAAGCTAATACAATCTAAAATATCAAACTAGGAAGATTATGTTTGATTAAAAAAATTAATGGGCGATTTTTTTCAGAATGGTGTATGGGGAACAAATGTACAGTTGAAAGCTATATACAATCTATAACATTAAACTAGGAAGATTATGCTGGATTAGAAATCCTGTAAGGATTGTCAGTGTTCCAGGAGCAAAAATTCTGATTTCATCGCAAAGGTAGGCAACACTGGGAGGAATGTGTCGCTTCAGATGCCACAGATATACTTGATATCAGTAATTGGAAGGCAGCAACACTCAATAGAGTGTTAATAGACTGGAGGTTGATGCTGGAGCAGGCTGACTCTACTTTGTGATTGAGAGTCAATGGGTAGTGATGTTAAATCATTAAATTTATTATAATATTTTAGCTTGATTGATTAATAATGTAAAAAAAAAATAACATATTAGACATATTAAAATAGATCATAGTACCTAGTACCATCCTGCCGGGCATAGAAATTTTCTTCAATTTTACGACCAGGGCCAAAACGCAACTGTGTCATATCCCACCTGGCATAGTCCCTAAACAGGAGAGTTCCGCCAGGCTTAAGCTTAGAACAAATATTCAAGACGGCATCTTTCATTTTTGTAGGATGAAGAGCGGATAGTACAAATACCAGAGTAACAATGTTTACCTCTGATATTGTTGATAAACTCCTAAAACAGAAAATTGGGTTTTAGCAAATAATTATTTTCAAATCAATAAGTTCATTTTGCTCTTAAATCTAATTCTGAACTGTAGAAGATAAATAAGAAATAGTATTATTTATTGACTACGTTGATTGGCTTGTGCCAATATAATATTGAAATAAGTAAATGCCATGCAATGAGATGGAGAGATTAACTTTCCTTTTATCGGTCATTTACAACCGTGGTTCATTCAAAATAAACCAAAACATAGCAAATAAAATCTGACTTCGATGATTTTTTTTTTTTCAAGTGAAAACTTTTTTAGGTGTGCTATGCGTTTTTTTTTTTTTATGAATCATTTTTAGCTAAAACATTAATTATAATTTGCACACATGTTTTAGTCAAGTATTTCCATATTACATTACAGTTTGTTTAAGGATTAATATAATAAATGTATTGCTCCCAATTTCGGATAAATAATATTTGGTACTTTTTGACTAGCAGGCCGGCACGAAACCTCACTTCTTATCTAACGTCCCTCTTCTTATCCCGCCAAATCTTTGAGTCATTGTATTGTTTAGTTTTTAATTATTCCCTTATTAGGTTCACTTATTAAATTCTTTACTTTTGGCCCGTTAGTGTTTATTTTTCATTTATTTTTGTCATATTATGGATCTTCTTAGAATATGGGATTTGCCATCTTCAGAAGAACAGGCAATTCAATATTTTCAAAATGTTGGGATACTTGCAGATGTGAAATTGTGTGAACGAGGTCATCGAATGAAGTTAAACAGGAACGCCAAATGGAGATGCTGTCGTAGGACTTGTGACACAAAACTTTCAATAAGAATGTTTTGGATGGAGGGCTCAAGGATTTCGTTTTTAACAGCTTTAAAATTGATTTATGGGTGGTCCCATAACTTAACAAGGATATAATCCAAAATAAATAAGATGAAGTGAAAATAAATTGTACATATATTTTGTTTATAGTGTAGATATTTTTTCTTTTCTATGTAAATATGTTCTTTAAATGTTGTTTTATTATTTAATTTTCATCTTTTATATATATGTTCTTCAAGTGTTTTTTTATTATTCCATTTTGATGTTTTATATGTAAATATCTTCTTAAAGTGTTTTTTTATTTCATTAATATATGTCGTAAAATAAAAGTATTTTTTTTGTTATTACATTTGTTTTTGTATCTGTTTACACTTTCAATAACACCAATATAATACATTAATATGAAGATAGGAAGTAGGAGAAGGCTTATCACTGCGTTATCGGAATTATCAATGTTCAGGTTATAAACATTGGCAGATAGCAGTCAGTGGCGGCCTGGCCTGCTAGTCAAAAAGTACCTAATATTTAAATAGTTTCTTTTATTTGGAATTTTTATATTAATAGGCCATCAGTCACTATTTATTATCATTCTGTATTTGCCAGAAATAACTTCCAGAAACCATCAAATGACACGCATGAAATATCATCATGTGACCATGTTATATATTAACTATATACATATGACTTATCATCTATTATAAAAATATAATATAAATTTTAAAAATACCCTGGCTGAGTAATATCTGCTAAGACAGTATGGACGACATCCTCACTATACAAAGGATGCTGTCGAACGATATCTAGAGCCCTCGGTGAGATGTCACAAACCCAAAACTCCAAGTTCAATCCCTCCTCCAAAAGAGGATAGATCAGATTACCTGTGCCACATCCAACTTCTAAGAGACTTTTTCTACCACCATCCTGGAATTTATTTTTTTCGCACTTAATAATATATCAATAGAAAAACAAAATGAACCTGTATAATTAATATTGAACTATCAAGATACAAAAATATCTTGATAGCATCATCAAAAAATAAGATTATAATACCTCTATTTGTAATAACTCCTTGAATTCTCTCGTCGTCCAATGCCTGTCCTTAAAAAATCTGTTTTCATTTCGCTTATAGAACAAATCCCAATGTTTCTTGGCTTCTGCTTCTAATTTATTTGCTTGCCAAGATGGCAATAATCTCGAATTTTGAGCAGCAAGTTTCTCGAGATCAGAACTTTCTAAGACTTTCAGTTCACAGGTTTCTAGCTCGTCATCAAACTTCATATCTGTATAATAGAAAACCTAAACACACCAATAAGTTGAAAATCAGTTACTTATAGTTTCAAACATAAAAAAAAGTCTACATAAATTATAATCATACATAAAATATTATTATCAAGTGAATATTTATCTAAATATATCTGGGGAAAAATTAAGTTCTCAACTTGTATACAAATATATTGAGGGGAGCACTGAAAATTTTGTAATCCATATAGAGAACAAGCAACGAATAAAAAAAAATGCACATATGAAAGCAAAAATCAATATTGCATACGAATTATCGTAAGTACAAATAAAACAATAAAGAGTTCATCATCCATCAAATTTAATACAATCAGCACAATTCTGTAGTATTAATAAAATTAAGTGTTAACGTGACAAAATAAATATTTTATTTGTGTTGGCTTTAGAGATTTAGATCTTTGGACACCCAAACCCATCTTACACACCTCAGCCTATGTTTGGCTACTGCAACTAGCCTTCCTGATGGATTACTCTGAGCTACATGCACCGCCCACCTTCACCTCCTTGCCTTAATATCACAATCAGTTCATGTAGGTGGGTCTTGTCTATTGGCTCTTTTCTAAAAATTAGTACACTGACACCAAAGCTTCAATTATCATATATCATGTATATAGCCTTCCTGATGGATTACTCCGAGCTACATGAGCTGCCCATCTTTACCTCCTTGCCTTAATACCACGAGGTATCATAACCAGTTTATGTAGGTGGGTCTAGTCTATTGGTACTTTTTTAAAAATTAGTACACTGACACCAAACCTTTAATTATCATGTAGACAAAATTTGTCTCAAATTTTTCAATTTTTCTTATCAGGGTACTGGTTAGAGTCAAGATTTTGCATCTGAATAACGCCTTTATCACAGTGTTGTAACCATTAATTTCCGGTTAAATCAATTTACAAAATATTGTTATTACAGAAAAGGTATTCATGTGGAAGTTTTTATTTTTATTCGAATGAAAATGAATAAGGGATAATCAGTAAGTGAGGGAATTTAATGGTAATTCAAGATCGATTGATGCATCAGATAGGAGCAAAAGACCATTAAATTTCAAAATTCATAGATTAGTTTCATTTGAACTATGATATCATCATTTGCATCAATTACGTTACTATAAAATTGTCATTATCTGTATGACCAAACGCACAAAGAAATGTAATAAAATAACAAAGCTATATAATGAAACAGAATATTATGACTGTAATTAATGTAAATAAAGCATTTAGGAGGGATTATATTTATAACCTATAAAACTGAATAGGTTTTGATCATTGGGACTTCTTGGAACAGTTTTCCCTTGAACTAAAAAGGTTGGATATCTCTGTCTCATATAATTTTGCAGCTTTACCGCGATCTGCTAAATGCTACAATAGATGCAGTTATGAACACGATCATTATATGTTATTATTATAACAAAATTTTAGGATGAAAAATAATCAGTATTTGCAGTCTAGATTTCTTTTATTCAGCTTGCCGACATTTTGACCGGAGGATATGGGCCTCTTCATCACCACGAATAATTAAAATTAAAGATGATAGTAATTAAGGGATAGAATAAAAATTATCTTTTAAGTTGTTAACAAGATATTTCATTTCTTAAATACATTTTTAATGTAATACATCCATGATAAATCCATTATTAAAATTGTGAACAACTAAATTAAATGTTGAGATGACAATGTAAATATGCTATTTAAAAAAAAAAATCATCAACACTCGAAAATGTATTTTTATTTAATTTTTTCTTTACATTTCATTGGTTAGATTCTTAATTCATATTATTTCTTTTTTAGTAATCCATAAATATAACCCCATAATCTAGTGATGCATCAGATAGGAGCAAAAGACCATTGAAATTCAAAATTCATAGGATAGCCTCATTTGAACTATGATATCATCATTTGCATCAGTTAAAACTTACTATATGAACAAACACAATAACTGAGCTACGCAACGAAACTGAACATTATAACTGTAATTATTTATGTAGAGTATTTTGTGATGAACTAAATAGATTTTGGACCATAGGGAGTTCTTGGAGAAGCATATGGCTATCAGACTAAAGGGGACCCTACACGGTCAATCGGAATTGCACTAATGACGTTCCGAATTGTCGTGTAAGGTAGTGAATGAAGTACTGATGGTGGTGCGCTGCGGATTTCCAAACATCCGGAAATCAAAGGTTCATTCACAAGAAGTGGAGGGGGGACTGAGCTAAAAGTATTGGGGAGACTAACCATACTACTGGATAGGTTAGGTTACCTAGGCCTCACAACCATTATAAATTTCTGATTTTCATTATATGTAAATAGTTAAATAATTTTTCATATCCCTTGTTAATAATTTTAAACCATCTTCAACTATTTCTTTTAAATAGTCAAGTGGACAACAAATATAAAAAAAAAAATGAGGAAACTTCACAATTTACTTTAGGAAAAAAAAAACTTTAACGTTGTGTATATTTATCAGTTCTTTTCCCATTTTCCTCAACAAATTTATTATTTTCGCAATACCTTTCCTTAATTTTTGTAAGTAGTAGACTTATATTTTACTAACTTTTGTCAAAACGATTTTCTATGAGACTAACCTATAGACTACTACTAGATAGGTTAGTTTACCTAGGTCTCGTTATTAAGTAAATAGTTGTTTATATCCCTAGTCTATATTATTATTAACCATTTTCAACTATTTTTTCTTTAAATAGTCAAGTAGGCAATAAATTGAAGAGAAAAAAAGTGGAAACTTCACAATTTACTTATAGAAAAAAAATCTTTAACTGTTGTGTTTATTTGCCATTAATTTTTCCATTTTTCTTAACAAATTGATTATTTTCGCAATACTTTTCCTAGATTTTTGTATGTAGTTGACTTATATTTTTCTAACTTTGGTCTAAACGATTTTCAGGCACTAGGAAGTAATTATTATATCTCCGTTTTTCTCTTGATGCCCAATATTATAAATGACAATGTTCAAATAAGCATATTTATGCTGTTTCTTTGTTTACAACTGAGCTAAATTGGTATCAGCAACGATAAGTAATGATCAGTAATGATTGAACGTGTAAGGGTCTTCATGATCAAAGCGATCGCGGGCAATCTTGGAACTTCTTGTGACGTTCATTCATTAGGATATCCGTGTGATATCATTCTGCAAATTGGACACAATTAGATAAATTTTATAGTATGTGCAGCTGTGAAGAAATAACCATTCTTTTACTAAAAACTACTGTTTCTAAAAAAAATTATTTAATTTACTTCAGAATATTGAACAAGATATTTTAAAGAAATAATGCTTTATTAATTTATTGGCTATAAATAAAATTGATATGACTAATAAAGACTTTTAAAAATATTTAATCCTTTCATTTGGCATGTTTTATTATTGTATTGTCACTGATACCACAATTTATAACTGTTCTCATTTAGAAAGAAAAAAAAATTAACTCTACATCATAATCTAATGGTGCATCAGATAGGAGCAAAAGACCATTGAAATTCAAAATTCATAGGATAGCCTCATTTGAACTATGATATCATCATTTGCATCCATTAAATTATTAAAACAATATGTTTCAACAAAACACGAACATAATGAAATTAATGTTTTTACAGCAATTAAAGATATGAGTATTTTGATATGGTGAACTATGTAAGTCTTGGGAAGCAGTGTGCCTCTCAAACTACAAAATCTGGTGCGCTTAACACATAACTTTCACTTACTGCTCTAATTTGAATAGAAATTATTTTCTGGCTATGTTGGGCTATTAAAAAATTTTTGAAGTGATTTTAGTTAATGTTTATAGTTACTGTCAATAAAAGAGTTATTTTTAAAAAATAATCCATATTAAAGGTACTTTAGAGGAAGACTTATATGAACATTGGGCATTTAAGCTCAGTAAAGTGATATCAATGGGGACAAGACCTAAATGATATTAAATACCACTTAATTATACAATGGTGATCAATCATAAGTTTAATCAAAATCGCTGGGGCTGTTCTTAAGAAAATTGTAAAAATGTGTTTCACCGTTGATATTAAGTGGCACTTCGGGTTAGCCGATTTTAACGAAAAGTTGTTGCCACATCAGAACTATATAAAAAACCTTAAATACGCAATTTAAAACTTTGCTTCTGGGCTAGGCTGCTCACATACACACAGACCATTTTGCGGGACTTGGTTACTTGATCTCAAAACGTGTATTTCCGTTAAAAACTGAGATTTGAAAATTTTCACGATTGCAATACTTTTCCTTACTATGGATTATATATATAAGTGAGTGAAAGTAAAAATTAGAAGACTGCTGAATATATCATCGATGTATTGCAAAGTCATTAAGGACATTTTTGATGAGAACTTCCGCTTCTTCCTCAAAGAAAATCTTTTAAACATGTTAGCACTGTTTTTTTTAAAAGAAAGTCACTAAGTTCTTAAAAGCTATATCGGCTCAGAATAAGCTTGCTTTAAAATCATGATTTCTGGCCAGTGTTAATAGTTTAGTTTTTAATACTTAAATTTATAAGATTCCACAATATTGAATATTTTTTAGTATAATTTAGAAGTTGTTTGTCCGTCCACTTGTTAGCACAATGTTACACAAGTTGCCAACATTGCCTGAATGGCGTCCACAAACTTGCTCCACTTCCCTTTGAGAGTTGCGGCAAAAACCAACAGCCATTAGAGCGCTCTAGAATATTTTCGAACTGTTACACACTTTACTAAATTAGTTTCTATATTTTTCTTATTTCTGTACTATCTCTGACCACAATTAATATCAGCTCTCTTTCCATATTCCATAATTTTAAATATTACTTCTTATAATATAAATTTTAGTTCATAATTATTTACTTGATATATTTCTTTAATACAGTTGTAAATATCATTAATAAATAGAAGAAAAAAAGTACATAATAGGATGTGTTTGCAGGGATATAATGCCAAGTTAAGGGTTAACACAACTTATAAGATGCATCAGATAGGAGCAAAAGACCATTAAAAATAAAAATTCATAGGAAAGCATCATTTGAACTATGATATCATCATTTGCATCAATCAATTAACCCATTAAAAGAATGTGCATCAATAAAAAAATAACGGGATTAACATTTTGAGTTATATAGTATAAACTATATATTAATATAGTTAAAGATATAAGGATTTAGGTGTAATTAACTCCTATAGAGTTCATGTACCCCTTAGGTTAAACAGATCGAAGTCCCTTGTCTAATATAAAATTCTGTAGGTTTAACAGATCCGGTTCGGTACTATGGTATGCGCAATTGTGAACACCATCTTTTGTTTTATTATAAACAAAATATTTTAGTTTTTAGAAAAATCTTTACCCAACTTAACGCATCCGTAACTTCATTCTCAGAATTGTAAATATCACAATTAAGTGTTAATATGGCATAATAAATATACTTTTAAAATATTATTAACCCTTGAAAAATTTACTTTTTATTAGTTTCTGGTCTTCTGCAGATCAATATAGTCATTGATATCTCAATTAATTTAAGTTCTCTAAGAAAAGAATGGTTGGGGTGATCAGTAAAGAAAATATACTTATATTTATTTTTAATGACATTTTGCCTTAAGTTCAGACTTTCACCAGGACTAAGAAAAAACCCAGATAACAAAAGTTATGAGAAACTATAAACATTGAATAATAAAGAATTGATATTAAAAAGGTGAAAGGTATGGACTAAAATATGTATGTAAAATAAACTTTAAGTAAAATAAAGTATGTTGAATAATAACAGTAACAGAGAACTAAGAAATAAAAAATAACAGCAACAAAGTAGGGACTAATGAAATAAACATAATCAAAATAAGGTAACTTAAGAAATGAAAAGTGGTAATCTTAGAATAAAATGTAAAACAGAGAAAAGGAATATGAGGTTATATAAGGAAATAATAGATAAGAGATTATAAAATTTATTCCTCTTGGATAAATTTTATTTGTAGAGTAGCTTGGTATAGATTTGTGAATTTGAAAATTAGTACTAGTTTTTTCTGTGTTTTGCAGGAATTGAAAATATTTGAGATACTGACGTCTTGTTGATTTTATAGTGGCGAGTAATCATTTTTAGAATAATTTTTATTCTAAGGGCGAGAAATAAAATTTTTTTACCGGGAAATTGAATGTCTTTGCGGATTTTTAATTTGAGTAAAGATTTTTTTAATTTAAGAGTGGAAGTTAATAATTTTGAGTTGAACGGAGATGATATGAAAATACGGCTGCAAGAGTTTTCGATAAATTTTGGAAAAATGGAATCAGAGCAGCATCTGAGAAGAAATATTCATTGTTCGGTAATAATTGCGAGGCGTTTATGAAGGTAAGAAGATTCTAAGGAAGAGAAGGATAAATGAGGTTGTGAGGAAGGTTGTACATTTAGTGCCTGAAGAGCTGTAGACGAAGAAGAAGAGATGGCCGCAGAGTGACTAGGAGAGCGTGGCAAAGAGGTTGCTGCTGGAAACTGAAAAGGTCTAGAGTGATTTTGAGATCTGGTTTGGTGGTAAGTAGTAAGGAGGTTGGTATCTGGTCATTGGCCCTGTGTATGTAGATTCATAATTGTGGACTGTAGAGATATAAATAAAAATTAAGATATTGTATAATCTATCAAAACATACCGACTATGTATAAGAGAATAAAAAGTTAAAACAATGTAAAAAAGATAAATGAGCAAATGAATCAATATACACAAAATAGAGATGGAGATATGGAAAAAAGAGTAACAGGAAAAAGAACCTCCATAAATCTAATGATGCATCAGATAGGAGCAAAAGACCATTAGAACTCAAAATTCATAGGATAGCCTCATTTGAACTATGATATCATCATTTGCATCAATTAATTCTTCACTAAAACAATGTGCTTTGATAAAACACTAACTACCTAATGATACATGTGATAATAGGATGAGACTTGGGTCTTTGTGACTTCTTGCAGGAGCACGATTTCACAGAATCGGATAGATTTAATTGAAATCGTAGATATGAACACGTTTTCTCACAAACAATGACAAAAAAAAAAAAAAAAAATCTTTTTTGAACATACTGTATTCAAGTTAACTTCATTTTCAGAATTATGGATAATAAAATGGAGTGTTAAAATTAATATGTATATATATTTCAACTTTTGAGATGGGCAAGTATTCGACTGATCAATTATATGTATGAAACAAAATTTTCAGTCAAAATATTTTTATAGGGTTGAGTCAAAACATAGGCTATCCCAATAAAAATATCTTGACGTATATTCCCAACGATTTTGTTTCATCCTTATACATTTAAAATTGAAAAAATCATATTTCTACAAAAATATGGTTCTTTCTCTAATTTTTATGTTTTATTTCTGAACTATAACTGATACTACAATTGATTGCATTACAGCTTTCATTTCATAATCCATAAATTTAATAGAACTCTAGATCAACTGATACATCAGATAGGAGGAGCAAAAGATCATTAAAACTCAATATTCATAGAATAGCCTTATTTGAACTATGATATCGTCATCTGTATCAGTTAAGTTGATTAATATAATAAACACTATAAACACACAAAATGAGATACATAATGAAACTGAACATTATATCAGATAGATTGCAATAATTAAATAAAATGAAATTAATGATCCGGAAGTATCGTATTAGATAGGTATCGGGTCTTTGGAGGAGCAGTGTCATTCTACAGAACTTGCAATTGAGGACACGCAAATGTTTGTTTGACAAAATGTTTACATAACTTTATTTTTTTAATAAAGTAAAAAGAGATATAGTCAGGATTTTCAGTCAATATTTTTTTTTAAATTTAGTGCTGATGTTTCAACCATAGCATCAATTATGGGTCATCATCACGGCAATGGCAGACAGAATTATTTATTATGATGATCATCAAAACGTCAACAGCAAGATAGTGTTGACTGAAAATCTTGACTACATATCTTCCTAGATTATCAAAAAAAAAAAACCGACCTCTGAAACAAAATTGAAATATTTTCTTAAAATCATTTACTCCAAAAATACCTATGTATTTAACTTAATTTTGTTCACAACAGGGATAGAATTAAAGACATTTCAATTCATATCAGTTCTCATTAAATAATTCATAAATTTAACAGAACTCCATAGTTTAATGATGCATCAGATAGGAGCAAAAGACCATTAAAGTTATAAAAAATCAAAGGATAGCTTCATTTGAACTATGTTCTCATCATTTGCATCAATCAATATATTATAATAAATTTTGTCAATAAAACATTGGGTTCGTAAAAGCATGTTAGTTTCGGCATCATAAAGTGCAATGAGATACATAATTAGCTCTAACGTATAGCTTTTCATCTCCATAAGGGGCAGGGAAAAGTTCATTAACACTTATATAAATCAATTATCATAAGTATACTTATACATATAGCACTATAATGTAAACTTTTAAATCCTTGTTTATATAAACTAAGAAAGAATCAATAAGGACTGAAAAATAAAAGTGAAGCCGCTTGTGTGCCCTCAAGCTTCTAAAACTCTCTGACTACCCCAGGCCTGATATGTCTACCTCAGCAGCTTTACTTAAATCCCCGATTTGGAGACATGGTCAATAATTAAACTTGATTATAAGTTTCTCTCATTACTGATAGCCCTCCTCCTCCCTACACAAAACCAAGTTCTACAATTCATAGTTATTCGGTCAATATCTCCTGCAAAAAAGTATGGTGTGTGCTTCAGACCAAACAATAGAAGTGAAAACATTAAATAGGCGAGATTAATATGAAATATAGATTATAAATAATAGCTCATTATAAAGAGGATGGAATGGAACATTTGTCTCATTTACAGTATGCAGGTCCAATTTTTAGTTTCTGAAATATTTTAATCCATGAAATTAGATATCATTTTTTTCCTTTCCACTTTCTAACACGACGTCGCATGAAGATATAATGTTAAATGATATCCCATTTCAGAGAGGAAGAAATGCTAAACAATTCACTTAATTACTGTATGCAGATCCGATTTTTAGTTTCTGAGATATTTTAATCCATATGCCAAACAATTCTACTATAGCGGAGCATTATAGAGATCTGGTGGTTCAACCTAATCCACTCACCACAAAAAAAGTGCAAAATGCACCTAAAAAAGTTTTGACTTCAAAAAGTATGTAATACTGAATTTTTTCAACTATAATTACTTACTGAATAGTTAAAAGTTAACACACACATTGAGAACAATGCTAAGGTATTAAACTCTTCACACTAGTACTTAACATGAGTGTTAGTAGTAAAACAAATAATATCCTCAAGGATTCTTTTAGCTAGACTCAACAGGTTTTTTACTTCAGGAACTTACATTAAGTGATGAATACACAAGTTATCAGAACATGGTACTAACACTAATATCCAGTTTACTGGTAGCTCATATAAATGGCATTGAATTATCTAGCATTATTAAACAAATACACACTAAGTTTTCAAGATACACAATACACATGAAAGAAGCTAAGCACATGGATGACAAAGAAATAAATTAGAAATCAAATTACTTTTAACACAACCAAATATAATAGCTCCTAAATAATAATAATTGAATACTAGTAAAATATAAAAGTAAATTAAAATCATTTAAGACTAACTTTACCTCATGAAACAACCTCTGTAACGACCAACGGTAAATGTAATTCTATAAAGCTAACACGAGGCGAGCAGATTTAGCATCAACTACGAAAATCGTCAGCAAAGAGCTAACAATCAGCTTTCTTGAAGTACTTCGTATAGGCAGTAACATTGAATAAATCAGTACAGTGTGAACAATGAAGAATAAGATGTTTCCTAAGAAACATAAATATTTTAATTCCCATTTAATAATATTCTACAGCATTTTGACGATGAATGGATTGCTTATTGAGCTTTCTGAATCAGTTATCATTAGTAAAAATTAACACATTTCAAACTTTGATAGTTTTGTGTTTATTAATATACATTTTCATCTTTTATAAAAAATTCTTACGTCTTAATATTTATCGATAAGCGGTTTTTTGTAGGAAACACGTAGAGGAGCATTATCAAGCAATACTTTTCTATGAAATCAAAATGTTTATTCAATTCCATTAGTTCAGTGCCGTTTCTTGCAGTACACTTCTTAGTCTCCGGCTTTTAATTTTTTCAATATTAAGTTTAAAAATGCCTCTTAGTGCTGAGAATGTTGCGCGTGGTGTGGCACTTAGTGACGATGGACGTTCCATTAGACATGCAGCTAATGCCATCGGTGTTCCATATGAAACTTTACGAGACGCCGCCAGGCGTTTTCGGGAAACTGGTTCTTACAATAGAAGGCCCGGTTCTGGACGGCCTATAGTAACAGAACCACGGGATGACCGGTTTTTGACTTTGAGAATTTTACGAAACTGGCACCTTACCGTTGTTCAAGCGATTCATCAGCTCAAAGAAGTTCGAGGTGTGTAAATTTCTGAACGTACCGTTCGGAGAAGATTAAATGAGTATGGATTAATGACTTTTCGTCCAGTAAGAAGACCAGAGTTGACCAGAACTCACAGAGTAACACGGCTGGCTTTTGCTCGAGAACACAGCCATTGGACTATGGACGAATGGAGTGCTGTACTTTTTACAGATGAGTCAAGATTCGAAAGTGTGGAGAAGAAGAAACAAAAGATATGCAGCCTGTAATTTTTCCCAGAGCCAACCTTTCCAAGGTGGTTCCTTAATGGCGTGGGCTGAGATTTCAATGGAGCGCCGCAGAGAATTGGTTGTTGTTCGTGGAGGGTCTTTGGCGGCCATTCGTTAAGTAGATGAGATTTTGGAACCTCATGCGTTGCCTATCCTCAACGAAATCGGCGATCTTTTATTCTAATGCACGATAATGCACGCCCACATGTCGCCCGCATAGTGCAGAGTTAGCTTCAACAGAACAATATTGAGGTTTTAGCCTGGCCAGCACATTCTGAGTATTTATGGGAGAACCTCGGAAGACGAATGAGAGCGCTTGCAACACTTCCTGATACACTGCAGGACCTTGAAAGGGCTCTTCGGGAGGAATGGGCTATCCTCCAGCAAAGGGACATTTCCCGACTGGTGGAAAGTATGCCGAGGCGTCTTCAAGAAGTAGTGAAGGCAAGAGGAGGAAACACGTGCTACTAAACGATGATGTAATTAATTTCTTTTAGAATTATAATGGTTCATTTTCAATTTGTTTTCTCTAATCTTTCTTACCCAATCACATTTTGATTATCGAAGGTAAAAAAGATTATAAAATTCCATAAATACTAAGTATTATCTACAAATACCATGTATTATATACAAATACAACTTTACAGAAATATTTTTAGATGAAAACATGGAAAAATCAAGTGGGTGGAATTTTTTGCCTGTCAGTGTATGTTTACGGTTTTAAGCAAGACTAAGCTTACTTTATGTCGTGTTTTCCTTAAAGTTGCTTTTATTTGTTCCAAAAATTAGAAAATGCTGCGTATATTCCACGAACGCTAGCAAAAATGATTACCCTGTTACCACCCTCGTCATTGTTCGGCAAATGCGTAAACGCGGAAATCGTTCGAATACTCTGTTTATTGTGTATTTATACACCATCTGTTTTTTCTTACTTACTTTATTCTGGATCACTAAAAAAGTTTGTGTATGTATTAGGACGGGGGTTCTTAAGTAATAACAAACAGAAAATGCATTGACCATTTAAGACTTTTATTAAATAAGTTATTTAAATAAACACGAAAAGAAACCTGACAATGAGTAAAAAATGAATCCTGAGGTGTTCGTGAAGAACTAACGTTTTACGATATAAATAGGAAACGTACCATATGTTTTGGGTACGATATTACAAGTAGGTTATACGATCTACTCTTGTTAGTTCGAAGTCTTAGAGTTCATGTAGTAACATAAGAATTAATTTTGCTTTCTCTTTCGATTGAAAAGAAAAATATATTTAAAGGACTAAACAACCTTCTGTTCTAACATATTATTAAAATACCATGATCAGAGATGAAATTAATGATAAACTGTTATCTGAAGACATTGGAAATCGAGCTTGGACCTTTAGGAGAGACGTAAAAAGGCTTAACTGAAGAAAGAGAGTTATACTAGGTAGATTTTCGGAACTTGAGGAATGGTAAACAAATACATTTATTAATACTAGTTGGCATATATGGGCATGATAATAATCAACGATTGTGATTATGATTATACACACTATGCTTGACCTTTGTATATTTTAGAGGAAGGAGATGGTCCGGGGTGGCGGTCGTTAAGAGATTAAATAGTAGAAAAACTATTTTATTTAAAGCCAACTTTTTGATCCAACTTTGCAGGTCTTCTTCAGAGCTAGATCAAACAAGATACAAAAGGATATAGAAAATTGCGGACGTTAAATAATATTTTCATAAAAATTATAAACAAGGTGAATAAACTTATTGAAATTATAAACAGTAAGTACATTGAAATATTAATAACAATAAACTATATAAACAAAGTAGCAAGATCCTAAACTAAAGTAACAATTATTGTATATTATGAATAATTGAATGTAATAAGAAGGATGGATAATATATGTAATTATGAATATAATCCTACAGATCTGAAGGAGAGATTGAAAGACATTTTCCATTTAAAAATAATATGAAATATACTACATAAAGGGATATGAAGAAAAATAAAAAATAAAATAAAATAAATAAAAAAACACAATAAATATAGAGACTTACGGGTGTATGCAGCATGGAGTTTCAGTTGAAACATGGGTAGAGCACCCATGGATAAATTTGCTGACCTGGTTGGGGGATGGTGAGGGAGTAATTTATTATTTTATTTTTCTTCAAATTTCTTTATGTCCATCATTATTCCATATTATTCCTTGAAATCTGTACTAGTATATTCATAATTACATATATTATCCATCCTTCCTATAACTTTCAATAATTCCCTATATGTAACAATTGTTACTATTTATTTACTTCAGTTTAGGATCTTGTTACTTAGTTTACTCTGTTTATATAGTTTATTGTTTTTAATATTTCAATGTACTTACTGTTTATAATTTCAATAAGTTTATTCACGCTGTTTATAATTTTTATCTAAATATTATGAAACTTCCATAATTTTCCTTATAATCCATAATTATCTTGTTCGTTCTAGCCCTGAAGAACACCTGAAAAGTCTGGTAGAAACGTTGGCTTTAAGTAAAATAGTTTTAACACTTTTTAGCCTCCTTATGACCGCATTCCCGGACCATCTCCTTCCTCTAAAACGACTATTTGATTGTTATCGCGTAATCATGTAATAGTAATCATATAGTCGTAATCAAAATCTCTGTAATCGTAATCACAAAAGCAAATAGAGGGAAATGTGTGTTCCTCTGCTTAGAGATAATCTAAAAGGAAAACCAGCGTAAAATATTTACTAATTTTCCATTCGTTTTCTTATGTTTTGTGAACAGTCAAATTTATTTTCGCAGTTCAAACGACTTTTCATCTGTTTGATCAAAATAAAAAAATTCCCACTTTTCATTCACGTTTGCTCTTTAAACGGGTGATCGGTTTATACCGGTTGGAACTATGTTCCTAATCTTAGAAGGTAATATAAAATAAAAATAATTGTGAAAACTGGGACAATTTTTCTTTTATTATACGTCATGACAGTTTAGGTACATCATTCGAATCACGAAAAATCTATTCATGATATATAAAAGAAAATTAATGAAAAGTTGGAAAATTTTCACGGTTGTTTTCTTTTAACCTAAACTGTCAGAATTTCGTTTCACCCGTGTAAATACATTTGATCGTTCATCAGGTATTTTAGGAAAAGATAACGAAAAGTGGACTCTCATTCAATTAGTCTACACCTGAACTGTGGGAAAATCGTTTGAACCACGAAAGTAGATTCGACTGTTCTTGAGATATAAAAAGAAAAGGGAATGGAAATAGAAAAAATATTTCACTTTCGTTATTCTTTTAGTCTGACTCAGAACTATCGGAAAACCATTTAAACCGAGATTATCCATACAACCATTTGTGACAACATATATGATAAGCGAATGAAAAGTTGGAAAAGATTCACTCCCGTTTTTCTTCAGATGAATAAATATTCAGTTATTCAAAATAAAAATAAATAAATTATACGTTATTCGAAAAAAAATACTAAATAATTTGTTATTATGTCTAAATTTTACACTAGTTAAAGCAAGAAGTGGTCAATCGACATTTTTTAATGGATGGTTTTGTAATGGAATTACCAGTTCCTGAATTAAATCTATGCTTTAATGTGAACTTTTTTTTTTTTTTTATTTCTTAAAGACATTTACAACTGTATTAAATAAATACATCTAGTAAATTAGAACATAATGTATATAATGACCTGAAAAACACTTGCTGAGTAACTACCCAGTGGTAGCACTCTAATGATATGTTTACATTAGGAGATCACGGGGCCATCTTCTTTTCAGACGCCTCGGAGGGTTATCAGGAATTGAAGAGGAAGCAAGGTTAGAAACGAGAGGGTTGGGATGATTCTGGAAGTTTATTATGGAAGGATAGGTATCTGGATTGGGCCAGATCTGAAACAAAAGGAACATTAAGGTCATTATGGATGGTGTTATTTGTAACAAAGTAGGGAGCATTGAAAAAAATTAAATTATTACTAATAATTGGTTAATTATTGTGGGTCTGAAAGATTTTGTGTCAAAAGGCTTAACGGGTCGAAGAGAAACGTAAGCCAAAATAATGATTTCTACATGGTCGAAGCATATTTCAATAGTTTAAAAAAATGGCTTTCCACGGTTTCAGGATTTCTTTTTATTATGATACTGTGGGATTACGATTCAGTGTGATCGATGCGATCTTGAGTTCGCTTAATAAATTCGATCATTTTCTCTGTAACTACCGCAAGCTGTGAAGATGTAATGTAAAAAACGTTTCATATTCGTTATAAATTAATTTAATCTTCTAAGATATTAAAATAAGCCGCTTTTCTCCATATGGCAATCGCTTAAATTTTGATTATTCGACTTATCAATGCAATAAGTTCTGTTTATTGGTTTTAAATAATGATAAAATGTCGTATAATTTCCCAGAAATTGAACCACACCGTATGTAGTACCCATCACGTGACCATGACCGATTCCAACTACCAACAAATCTTCAACTACTTCAGACATTGCTATTATCTAACCCAGGCGTTGATGTTTGAGGACAGGAAGCCCTACTTGGAGAGAATGAACGAGTTACTCCAAGAAACTTGGTATGACTTCATCTGGAGAACTGACCTGAGCAGTGAGTTACTTGTCAAGATGCAAGCTGCTAAGGTGAGACGACAAAAGTCTTGATAAATGTAATATAGAGGTAATCATAAATCTTCTTGAGATATTTCGACTTAATACATTTGATTCGTGTTTAGTCCATCCGAACGTTAGCGAACCTACGTAATAAACAAATATTGTGTTTCATTTTACTTCTCGCTCTTATTGCTTTCTACTACCTCATTTATAATAATAAAAGTACACTGAAAAAGCCTAAATTAATGCTTCCAGGAAAACCTGTTGAAACAGTCATTGGAAGACATCTCCTACATCTCCATGCAGGTTTCTCGAATGACTAAGGAACGTAACGTATCGGACCGAACCCTCATCTTGCTGTGTACCTTCTTCATCCTAATGTTCTTCATTGTCGCTATCATTATCAAGTTTGCAATATCCCCAAATCTGAAGAGTCCTTCTTATAGTGAACAGTGTACAAGGTAGGATGAATATAATATCTTAATGATATCATATTACAGGAGATAAAATGTTTTGCTTAAGGCAGATAAATAATTATTAGCTTAGCTCACAACTGTTAATTTATTTCATTCATGGAGGACTTTGCTAAAATGTGAGGATATATATCTATATACACTGGCCTAATATTATTTAAATCAACTGCAATTTGTTCAGGTAGCATGATCCGACAGGGAGACTGATTTTTACTTTCCTACCTATACTAGGTAAGGAAAGTATTGCAATCGGGTTAAATTTCCGACATGCGGTTTTCAACGAATCTATACGTTTCAGAGCTTCTTGAGTCCGAAAAACACGCCGTTTAGCCTGTCGTTTGAAAGGTAATGAAATTTACAAAGCCATATAAAAATCGTTCATTTTGGACAACTATTAACGAAGTTACAGCTATTCAATTTCCAATGTAAGATTACGGTTTCATATCCTGGCGTCAGGAAGGGGTTAATGAGAGAATAAAGATAACTAAGTGAAAGTAAGAAAATCTGTTGCCCACATCACACAATCTTCATTATTTCCTTTACTTTCAACAGAAATTATTGTTTGTCAATACTAAGCTATGCCAAAAAGTTTTTGATCAGCAATATATCCATCTTAAGCCGGTTTACATTGCTTTAGTTTATCAAAGAAATCGTACTCAAATCTTATGTTTGATCAATTTTCAGGAAAATGTATCTAGTTGAATTCTTTTTTGTTTCTTCATGAACATATGTAAAGATATAAAAACTTTTTGAAATAGGTAGGAAAGTCGTGGGAGTGGACACACCAGAATTTTTTTATATAAATGTTAGGAATATTCATTCATACAAATTTCTTCAGATAATGTCATTTTTTTACTCAGGCTCTCGGACTAATAGAAGCAGCTAACACTCCATCAAGCTCTTGGTCATCCACAAGCTCTTTCTCTTTCGAGTTTTCCTTGATACACTTTTTGCACCACCAGTTAATCATTTGTGAACCAGATATTGAATCTTAAACCCAAATGTTACAGACTAGATCGAATTTGTGAGTTATAAAAGTCAAGCTATGAAATATTTTTAAATAAAACGCGTTCACTGTATATGAGTATGTATATATATAAAAAAAAATAAATAAAAATAAAATGAACCTGTACCACTAACTACCCATGAAGGATCTTGTGTTCAGTACTATGTGAGGAAGTACTGTTACCATGCCAACGGTTGTGCAGAGAGGTGATTGGACCGAAATCACGCTCTATCGCCAGGTTTTCCCCTTTAACTAATTATTTCATTAAGATTACCCACTTTATAGATAGAGACTGGGTGTGACCCAGGAGAGTGTCCCGACCCCAAGGTCGATTCACTGCCGATAAAAAATTACTTGTCAACAGCCGGATTCTAATCTGGACCTTGAGCTCAGGAAGTTCAGTGCTCACCCACTTTGCTAACCCGCTCTCCATGTATATAGATTTATACATTAAATATTAATGTAAAAAACAAATAAACAAATAAAATTATTACCACTGAAAGAAAATATTTATTTTGTTTAGCGAAATAGATGTAAGAAGGATGAACGTAGAACCTCCTAAGATATCACCTAGCAGTTCTGAAGGCCACATGGGTAAGTAATTGGAGTTGATATAGAAACAATTTGTCTTTTATTTTTGAAACAGAAATTTTAAAGAATATCACTGATGAATCCGAAATTGGTTTAATCAAATATATATATCTAATATATGTATATTACTAATCAGTAGGAATTTAATAAGGATAGGGCAGGGGTCTCCAAACGTTTTGGCCCGTGGACCATGTTGAGACATGAGTTCTGTGAAGCCATACTGATACATGTATATACATTGACTTACGTAATATACATATAAATACTGTCTTATGTACAGAAAAAGAGCTGTGTAATAACGATAATTGCGAAAAGTAAGTTATTCTGTGTAGTTTCGGAGTTAAATCATTAAATTATAATTAAGGAAGGAGATGGTCCGGGTTGGCGGTCATGAAGAGTCTAAATAGTGGCAAAAGTATTTTATTTTGTTATTTTGCTAAATATTTTTGCCACTATTTAGCCTATTTATGACCGCCACACCGGACCATTCCCTTCCTTTTTAATGCAACGGTCAACTATTAAATATTAAATTAAATTATAATTGCTATTGCTTTTGAATAGTTAAAGATAATATAGTAAAGTAGTATATATTCTTAAAGGAAATTTAATATTAAACAACTTTTTTTCTCGTGAAATGAAAAGATAAAGAGTTGGCGAGTCAAATAAGGATAAAAATGGGATGCAACATTTTTTTTTTCTCGAAATTAGTGAAGTACCAGGACGGATATCACTGAAACTATAGAATATAGTGAATAAACTAACATAACTATTTCTATTGGAAATTTTGTCAGCTTTAATTTCACATATCACATTATTATAGATGGAATCGTTTCACTGATATAAGCGAAAAAACGAAAAAGTAAACGTTTTGAATCATAAACTCAACTTTTGGTTTATTATTTTCAATAATGAAACATTGTGATCGACCAAAAAATTCAAAAACATAACTCTCTCTCAAAATTTGAGGTTTCACGTTTCAAGACGCGTAGAATTCGAAAAACGAATAAAAAGTTTTTTGTCCGTCCGCCGTCCGCGCATTTTCTCCGAAACTACTGGACCGATTGTTTTCAAATTTTGATATAAAATCAGAGGTCACCGGAGGATGATCCTGCTTCATCGAAATTACTCTCCGCCTTTAACTTTCAAAATGGCGGCCGAAAAACCTGCGTTGCTATAGACTGTAGCTCCTAAATGAATGTACAGATTTCAATGAAACTTCGCTAAAGTCATTTTCTCGACGCCCTTTGAATTTATCTATATAACATACTTCAACGAAAAGAAGCTGGACAAAAAGTTACGAGGGATGGCAAAATTAAATTCCGAATAACTCGAAAAGTTTTTACTTTTTTGTTGATATTGTATACAGTATTTTTTTTTAAATTTACGAAATTTCCTAAAAAAAAAAAAAAAATCGTTAAAATCGGACAAAGATATGGTCTCCGGTTTTTTTTTATGTGTACTAATCCAAATGTTATATCACTGGTTTGGTTTTTAAATTTTAAATGTGTTACTGAACTAATGCTATTTTTTTAGCATATTATTAATGATTAAAGAAAAACAGTATCGTCCAATAATTGGAATCACCTTTTGTTTTTGTTTTTTTGTAACTCGGAAGGTAATGTTACTTTAGATGTATAATTGTTTGAAGATAATAAACCATTGTGAAATAATTCGCAGCGTTTTCGATTTGAAATCCACCGGTATGGGGGTAGCTTATTATTATTTCATGTCTTAAGACTGTAAATAGTATAAATTGAAAGGGTTGGTAGCTTTATATATCTATAAGCCCTCTTTATATATACAAGGTTACAACCAATGTAGGGTTGTATCTATCTCTATCTATCTTCACACCGCCATTTTATATTCCAGGGGCTATATGCTTGCAGACGTGCATTTTTCTAATTAGGCCTGTGTATATGATCAAGTTATAAGGGCAAAGCTTAGTATGAAATATGACACCTTTTTTTCCACGGGCTCCCGGACTATCTGGTTTGAGTTTAATTGGGACCCTTAAATTGCCAATATGGGAATGAGACGCAACTATATCTGTGGTTTTGAGTGCAGTCATACTTGTCTTTATAATATAGCGAAGAACTTCACACAAAGTAATTAATTTTCAGACGATTTAGTCCTGGTACTAGTAATGGTACATAAGTGGTTAATAACTCTCAACTCCTCCAAAAGAGGTTGTTTATTGATCACTAAGTCTTACCTAATTCAGAATAAGGTTTACTTAAACATCAACTCCATATATATTTTTTCATCTCTTGCTTTCACTACTGTATTTTCGTTTTCTTCATACAAACATAAAAATAATAGTACAGATTTATTTACATTTTTTTATTTTATGTAGATATCATCATTTTTAAGGAAAAAATTTCCTTGCTCTTGATTTTATCTTACATACATATAGAGTATGTATATAAGATAAAGAGTATCCGGTAAGTAGAGGGAAATATTTAAAAGGACGATAGTAGACGTCAAGATCAACAAAATAGTTCATATAAGCAATTGGCCTATTTCCATCAGAATAACAGAAAATTTAAGATTTTTGTTTTTTTAAGCGAGTCACGTTTATTGTTTAATAGAAAGCGATAACTTAAAAAATGTTTGATTGAAGTAATTAAAAATTGCTCTGTATTAAACTATACAACGTTTACTTTAAAAGAAAGTAGAGTTTTTCATTGTTAAAAATACTTAAAAAGGACTGTTGAGCGGCTAACACAGCTAAGATCCGTTTTAAAAAAAAGTCATAAATAAAAAGGTTTTTCTAAAACTGGAGTAAGTGTAGGACACTTAAAGGGTAATAAAAAAAAATCACTTATAATTTATGACTGTTTTTTAAATGGAACTTAGCTGTGTTTGGCCTCTCAAAAGTCCTCTTTAAATAGTTTTAACAATGACGAACTCTACTCTTTCTTTTAAAGAAAATTTTGTCTAGTTTACTATTGAGCATTACTTATATGTTTTATCACTTAAATCAAGTTGTTGCTTCCTATATAATTTATATATATATATATATATATATATATATATATATATTAAAAGAAATGTGTATTTTAGTTTTTTTGTTTCGTTAAAACTCGACATTTTTGCATGTTTTTTTTCTCACAAAATTAATGTAAAATACTTTTTAAGACAAATTCGTTACCTAGGACTCCACCTCGACAAACGACTCACATGGAATCCTCATACAAGACTGAAACGACAAGAAACCGCTCGACGTTTCCGACTACTCCAACACTTACTAGACAAACGCTCTAAGCTTTCACTCAATTACAAACGACTCATATATATGACAATAATAAGACCTATTTGGGACCTACGGAATTGAGCTCTGGGGCTCCACTAAGTCATCGAATTCCTCTCGTATCCAATCCTTCGTAAAATCCTCAACGCTCCTTACTTTGTCACAAACGAAATCATCCATAAAGACCTTAATATTCCATATGATTCCGATTTGGCCCAATCCAGATACCTATCCTTCCATAACAAACTGCAGAACCATCCGAACCCTCTTGTTTCAAATATTGCTTCCTCCTCTATCCCTGATAACCCTCCGAGGCGTCTGAAAAGAAGATGGCCTCAGGATCTTCTAATATAGAACTTTAATTTGAGTTCTACCAATGGGTAGTTTCTCTTCATATTTTACATGTCATGTTACCAATTTCACATTTACCTGTTGTATTTTTAATGTAATACAGTTGTAAATTACAATAAAATTATAAAAAAAAATAAAAATAAAAAAAAATCTTTTTAAGACATCTAAGCATTCGAGCAGATACATTCAGCATTGTTCAAATTCAACGAATCAATAATTTTTAGTGTAAATATTGAGACATTTTAATTATTCGTTCTCCTGAATACAAAGTATAAATGATTTATTATTTGTTTTATAAAATTCAATTTCAATTAAAATAATAATAATGCATTGTCAAACCTTTACCTTATACTCGGTAAAATACTCATAAATTATTTTCAAAACCTTTTGTTATGTTTGACTTATTCAGTATTAAAAAATATAATAATATCCGTAGATAATCACCAGCAATAAGAAATGAATTGATTTAAACTATACTGTTTCCATTGAGAAAATTATGAACTAAGGTTCGTTTCCTCACAGTAGCTCTGTGGTTAGACTGGCTTTGTATAAAGTTCGTCAACCTCCACTCAGAGGCAAAAAAATTCGATGAACCAGCTTTCCAAGTGTTGCTTTAATTCTTCGGAATCGTTATGTTAGGTTTTTAGTCCCCATCACTTTTATTTTGCTCTATACATAAATCGAAATATCCATCGAAAATTTCACCTCCAGGGCAATAAATATTGAAACAAACATAATTATTGTGTATTCGACCAGCAATAATCACGATTCCCATTTCTCTTTTTGATAATTAACTACAATAACTATGAATATGAATAATTACGACGTTAGGGATTAAATTTAAGTACTGCCACAGTCAAAATTAGATTTATATTTTTAACTTCTTTTTTTTCATATTCTACATCTTTTAATTAATGATAAATATAATTTGTATAATACTTCTATGTTTTTAATACATGAAAGTTTATGTATCGTTGTTATTTTTTAAAAAGGGAGAGTTCAAGAAATGGGTTATTCTCAGAATTTTACTTTTGGATACATTTTTTTCCTTCACCAGCCATTTATGCTATACTGGGTTTCTGCAGTAGTGGGTTAATACATATGCCAACTACATCCAATAAAACTATTTAATAAATAATATATCTTAATATATATTTTTAAAGGATCTTTTAATGTTGGAATAATGATTGTTTTTTGTTCGTTGGGGCTTTAAGGCGTAAAACTTTGGGATCATCAAGGCCAGTATCCAATTTTGTTTATGTCTAAACCAAATTTTTAAAAAAATTTAAATTTTAATTAACGAATTGTTTCATTTCAGAAAATTTAACGCTTGCATTATTATGTCTTCGTCATTTTTTAGATCTTTTGATACTGTATTTTTTGATTGGTTGATACAGCAAAAAGAACATTTTTGTAAAATGTGTGACTGTGGCTGGAATATATATTACAGTGTTGGCATTATGGGGGTGGATCATTGCTAATGAGATAGGAATGAGTCAGATTGGTATGGTCTATTCTCAGTCTGTTTTAGACAAACTCTTCTTTACCGAATATGATCTTGAACATGTTTTTACTGTTTTCAAATATCTTTTGATTAGCTTGCTGGGCTGTCATTCCACATGGATTGCCAGCTATGAAATATACATACGACTTTCTTAAAACACTTAAGGTCATAATGACGTAGCCAATTAGTCTTTTGTTAATTGGTATGTGATTAATTGTTTTCATTACACCTCATATCGTCGCTACTATGTTAAAGTAATGAATGTTAACCTTCCCAACGCTGTACATTTGTTCCTATAACGTGGTTTCGACGATATGATTTCTTTTATTAAAATTTAGATTTTTTCAGTGTACTACGAGACTCATTTTCTCACTTGCATTGGAGATAGAAAAAAAGGAGGTATCTGTATTTCATTTTAACTAGCCCAGAAATCTTTTGATTTTTTATAAATTAATGATTTAATTATTTTTGTAGAATGTTCTATACCCTCTCAAATTCATATCAAGATGTGTTGCTCTCACGAAGGTAAGCAATCAGAATTGAATTTTGTAACGTTTGTTATCGTCAACTGGGATAACTTGACTTTTTTTTTTAAAAATATATGCTACGCGGCAGGTTTTTTAGGTCATGAAACAATTCATAAAAGTATCAATCATTTTTTTTTTTTTTGTTACAGGTAATAATTTTAGTTGGCAAAATGATCTCATTCCTTAGATAACAATGCCAATTGTTTTCATTTTTGCCATATTCTTGTTGTATCTGAACGTTGATTTGCCCAGATTTCCACGATTGTGAAAACAGTGATCAAAACCAATGGTTGGGTTAATGTGAAACATAATCAGTTTAAAAAGTAGTTTAAAAAAGTAAAACTGGCTAAGTTGTCCCAGTTAAGGGTACATTTTTAATCTTACATTAGTATTAATTTTTTTTTATTCACATTAACAATGATTTATTTAATTATAATTACAATTTTTTAAAATTAAAATCATATGTTCAAAAACCATAAAATTTATAAATACCAATAACTACGAAAAATTATGAAAAATCGTGAGTATCATAGAATTGAGTGATTTGATTTTTCCCAATTACTATCAAGGCTTTTTCTTTTATCATTAACTTATTTGTTTTTTCTTTCTTCAAGCCTGCAACAGGAATCCGGAGATAGTAATGCAGAAATGCAAGATTCACGACAGGACGTCAGAGACAGAATTGTGTAATATAATTAGCAGACAAAATAATCTTTTATTGTAAAATAAAAACTAAATTATGCATTTGCCTTAGGTCATACGTACCGTCGCATAACGGACAAACTTCGATTGGCCTGCGCATGCAAGAAGGGGAGTAGTTTATACTCAAAGTTGACCGGATCTTGTTTTAACTTCTTCCAAGTCAAATTATTCCAGGAATGTAGGAAACCTCCAGTAAGGATGAGTTCTGTGTATTTGACCTCTTCCGGTGTCAGTATGTAAGATATTTCAAGCTGTATAATTTTCATTATGAATATCAATAATTGGTAAACTTATATCATATTGTTAACCAACTCATAGTTGGGACAGTGATCGTAAACTAGCCTTCAATATGAAACATTATTATAGAGATATTGAGCATGAATAGATTAAAAACAGGTTTGTTTTTATGCGTCTGAACTAATAGGAATCTGATAATAATACAAGTTCCAAATTCCTATTCCAATATTGGGACTGCTTTCTAGATCTCTTCGGACATACTTTAAGTGGAATACCGAAGCAAACCGAGTACGTTTGTAGACGACTGATCCTCAACTCTTTGTAGAGTTAACGAACTACAGGCAGTAAAGACCTAGATTCATAATCTTGTTGTCGAACTCTTGTAGTTAAACCAAAATAGTTATGATATAAGCCAATATATAAAATGTCATATATAAACAGATATTATAAACAAAAATGCTATCATGTGATTACATGATAGTATTCCTGAGATAATCAGAGATTAAGTATTTGTGAGTAGAAGGAAAATAAAATAACCCGGACGAGATGGTTGGACCAAGTTGGTAGTAAAAGACTATTTAATTTGGTTTCAAAACTAAAGTGAATTTCTAATTATAATAAATACTTTTAATGATTACGATAATCATTAATATTTTTTTTTTCAATTTCATTAACAGATTTACATATATCTGTATTTGAAAGAGGTTACAAATTATACTTTATACTATACATTATACTGGGTATCCTGTAAGTAGAGGGAAATTTTTAAGAAGATTATAGTAAATGTCAAGAGCTACAAAAACGTTTATGTAAACAATAGCTCATTTTCAGCAGAAAAATAGCTAATTTAAGATTTGTATTTTTTGAGCTAGTCACGTTTATTGTTGAATATGATGCGATAACTTAAAAAATATTTGATTTAAGTAATTACAAATTGTCTCATAATAAACTAGACAAAATTTATTTAAAAATGAAAGAGTTTGTCATTGTTAAAATTATTTAAAGTGGACTTTTGAGTAGCTAAACTAAACTCTGTTTTAAAAAAAAATCATAGATTATTCGCAATTTTTTTAAACATTATCCAACTTTACTACAGATTCCCCACTTTTAGAAAAACTTTTTTTTTAATCAGCTTTTTTTTATTTTATTTTTTTTATTTATTGATGATACTTACAACTGTATTACAAGTAAAAATACATTCAGTAAATGTGAAAAAAAGAATATAAAAGCATGAAATCATTTGTTGAGAAACTACCCACTGGTAGCACCCTAAAAATGTATTTACAAAAGGAGATCTCGAGGCCATCTTCTTTTCAGACGCCTCGGAGGGTTGTCAGGGATCGAAAAGGAAGCAAGGTTAGAAACGAGAGGGTTAGGATGGTTGTGAAGTTTGTTATGGAAGGAAAGGTATCTGGATTGGGCCAGGTCAGAAACATACGGAACATTAAGGTCGTTATGGATGATTTTGTTTGTGACGAAGTAAGGAGCTGTGAGGATTTTACGAAGGATTTTGGATTGTAAGGATTGGATACGAGAGGAATTCGATGGCTTAGTGGAGCCCCAGAGCTCAATTCCGTAAGTCCAAATAGGTCTTATTGTAGTCATGTATATGAGTCTTTTGTAATTGACTGGGAGCTTAGAGCGTTTGTCTAGTAAGTGCTGGAGTAGTCGGAAACGTCGAGTTGTTTCTTGTCGTTTCAGTCTGGTATGAGGATTCCAAGTTAGACGTTTGTCCGTTGTTACTGGGAAAAAAGTGATGAATAGGCATTATTATGATTTACTTTGAAGGATCTATCAGTTAGATAGGAACGGATAATGAGAAAGTATGTAGGGTGTAGGAGTTTACGGAGTTTGTAAAGCAGTCCTGGGTGCCAGACTCGATCAAAAGCCTGTTCTTAATCAGCTTTAAGTCCATATGAATTAAACTGAGGTTTAATAGGGAAAAAAATGAGATTACTTTCAAATAATGTAAAAAAAAAAAAAAAAAGTGATTTTCAATCCAGTCACCTAAAAGTACCCTTCTTTACAGCAAAAATGATTGTAATTAACTATTGCAGATCTTTTATTTCTCGTTTTCCGTGAAATGGGATGAGTTGTAATTAACACAATTGCATAAAAACACATTTTATTTATGTAAATAAAAAAAAAAATTAAAAATAATGATTTTTCAAATATTTTCTATTTAGGGTGGTTATGAAATTGTGCTTTTTCCTCTCAGATTTCTGTCATAGGAATTGATACGTACTTACAACTGATAAATGGAAGGAATTTTGTCGACTGTTTTACATATCATGGGTGATAAATATTCAGGACGCAGTCATTATAATGTATTTATTAGTGCCAACGTTTTTAATCTACAAGACCATACTGAAACCTGTCTGGACCTACGGACTTGAACTGTGGGGGACAACTAAATCATCGAATATCAAACGCATCAAATCCTTCCACTCCAAAGTCCTTCGAACAATAGTCAATGCTCCATGTTATGTCACGAACAAGACCCTACACCATGACCTTAACATCCCATATGTTCATGACATCTTCCCATCCAGATTCTCTAACTTTCACCAGAACCTCGTTCATCATCCCAATCCTCTAGCGCAATCCCTATCCAGCTCCGAGCATCCATACCATCCCCATCGAAGGTTGAAACGGCAGTGGCCTCGAGATCTTTTGTAAATATGCCTTTGGAGTCCTGGCAATGGCCAGCTTCTCCACTCATGTCCTGAGCGTCTGTGGCTCTAGTGCCCTCTTTCAGTCTCCACTGGCTTCTATTACTAGTGATGCCGCTGGAAAAGTGGCACTGGGATCTTCCGGAGTCTTGCTTTGCCTTCCTGGAAAAAGCCTGGCTCGGAGATTCTTGGGCGAATGTATATATTGTATATATTTATGATTGTGTTTAGAAGTTTTTATTTTTTTTATTTGTTTATTTTTTTTTTATTTGCCTTCTTCATCAGTATTATTTTTTACTTCTTATATTTATATTTATTTCTTTATTATTTGTATATATTGTATGAATGAGAACTTTCAGCCCTAATGCTTATAGCCCTCCAGCAGTGGCTGATTGTATTATTATTCAATAAATAGTTTTAAAAAAAAAAGTGCCAACGTTTTAACATTCAAACATGTGGGTCATCCATCAGGGCGTGGTTCGAGCACTGATGATGACCCACATGTTTGGGTTGAAACGTCGGCACTAATAAAAACTTTATAATGACTGCGTCCTAAATATTTTTCCCACATTATAACTGATAAACTTAATGTTTCTAACCCTAATGTTTACTTTTCGTGAAAATAATTCAAACAGCCAGTAAATTTCTTTATTTTAAACATAAATTTTAGTAAGAAACATTAAGTTTGTCACTGATAAATACGAATCCATTCTTATGACGAAGATCTGGGAGAAAAACACAGTTCATAACCACTTAACGTGAAAAATATTTTAAAAATTATTATTTTTTATTTACAAATAAAATCTTTTTTAGACAACTATGTTTATTACAATACATCCCATATCACGGAAAAACAAGAAATAAAAGCTTTACAACAGCTAATTGTAGTTATTTTTGCAGAAAACTCGGGTACTTTAAGGTGACTTGATAAAAAGTAACATAAATTCTTTACACATCTTCAGTTGAATCACAAAATATTTCCAAATGAACCTCAACTGAATTAATATAGACGATTATTAAATGAGGAAGTTTTTCTAAAAGTGGGATAAGTGTAGGACAGTTAAAGGGTAGTAAAAAAAATCACAAATAATTTATGACTTTTTTTAAAACGGAGCTTAGCTGTGTTTGTCAGTTCAATAATCCTCTTTAAATAGTTTCAACAATGGAAAACTGTACTACCATTTAAAGTAAATTTTTTCTAGTTTACTATGGAGCAATGTTTAGTTACTTGAATAAAATATTTTTTACGTTATCACTTCCTATTCAACAAAAAACGTGACTCGCTCGAAAAAAACACAAATTTTAAATTTCCTACTTTTCTGCTGTATATTGGGCAATTGTTTATATGAACTGTTTTGTAGATCAGGATGTCTACTATCAAATTTGTAAATATTTCCCTCTACTTCTGGGACACTCAAAATATGACCGTTAGCACCTCCAATTGTCCATGACAGACCCTTCATGATCCACACCTCCTCACAAATACTTTTGATTAATTCGATTATTTTTATAGAACAATGTAGTTGAATTTGAACCAAAAAAAAAACAACAAAAAAACTAAATTTTAAGATTTCAATAGAATCTGATGAAAGTAAATGTTAAGTTGAATTATCATTAAACTATTGAAATTGTCTTTCTCAAGAGACCATTTAAACAAAAGCTAGGTTTAGACTTAAAGGTAAATTTTTACAGTTTGAATTTCACAATTAACTTTATTTTTATCTGCAGGAGTGACGAGTTTATTCCAGTTTTCACTACTGTGAGGGAAATGAAATTAATAAATGAGAAGAACAAAAATAAAGATTCCTAGACAAATTGGTACTTGTGAATCGACTTCGAAAACTAATCCAAAATAATAATAAATAATGGACGAGTGGCTTGAGTTTCAATTTTGGTGATAATTAATTAATGATAAATAGTTACTCATGCACTAGGGTACCAACCTTCCTTAATGACATGATTTTTGTTGTTGTAAAAGACTAGTAGTAGAAATAAGTCAACGTTATTCAGTTGTTATGTGTATATTAATGTATACATTTGTTTAATGACAAAAAAATGAAAGAGCCATCTCAACACAGGAAGCGTCTTGGGCATAGACGTAGACGTTCAATTTTGGTTAGGAGGAGAGAAAGCGATGGATGGATCCCACCAAAAAGTCTCAGAAGTTTATGTCACGCATACAAATTATGAATAATAATTAAAATAACCAATATAATTATAGTAAAATGGACAATAAAATACTACATATAAAAATTAACTTATATAAAGCGATTAGATATTAATCATATTTTAAGTTTTATTTAAAAGGCAGTGAGATGAGCTCTCGATTCTTTGATACTTCAACTTTGCCACTTGAATGAATCCTAAAATCCTAAAATATGTTGCTTCATATAATTATATTATAATATACATTTTTTTAAATTTATTTATAAGATACATATATCTTTAAAAATACATTTGATTTCTACAATAGTAATGAGCAAATATGTTAATAAGGATTGCATATGATGTCAAGCAGAACAGAGCGAAAAAAAAAACAACCAAGCAAAAATATGAATAATAGAAAATAGTAAACAATAAAACACTAGTAAATTATAAAACTAAACTAAAGAGAAAAAATAATTTAATAATATAGTAACAAAAAAATCTGGAGCGGTGCGCGCTTCACACAACTTTCAGCTTACCACCCTAGAAGAAACAAGTATTTTCAGACCAAGTGAAAGTAAAAATTATAAACGCTATATTTATTTATATTTCATTGTGGGTATTTTTATTTGTATAAGTACCCATGTATATACAATTTGTAATTTTATATCGTTAATTAAATATTGAAATATCGTTACAATTTAATATTAAATAATACCAACAATAGCATTTATGGAAATCCTTTCATATTGTATATTGAACTATATTTTATATTAGAAATTAATGTCAAATGGTCAATCATTTCAAATAAAAAAAATTAAAGGTATTTTAGTAGAAGCTAATGTTGAAAATTAGACATTTAAGTCTTGTTAATATCAATCAGAATAAAATCTACATTTTATTTAAAACTGATTAAGCTTACACTATTATAATGAATTTAATCAATATCGTTAGAGCCGTTTTCGAGAAAATCGTAAAAATGTGTTTAGTCCATGATATGAACTGCCATTTGCAGGTGGCCACGGTCAGGTTAGACGATTTTGACGAAAAAGTTGGTTTAACATCTCAATCATATAAAAACCTTAAATATGCAACTTCACTTTCGTACGACTTTTCGTTTTAATTTTTAATTGAATGTACAACTGAATAAATGATAAATACAAAAGTAAAATGAAACAAGAACATGACAGTACAACATGAAGAGAACTACCCATGGTAGCACTCCAATTTCGTTTTTGAGCCAGACTGTTAACACACACACGCACGCACGCACAAACATACTGATAATTTTTCGGGACTTGGTTATTTCGACTCAAGGGATCTCAAAACAAGTATTTCCGCTGAAAACTCAGATTCGAAAATTTTCACGATCGCAATACTTTCCCTTACTGTATATTTCATATTTTGGTAACTGAAAGTAATAATAATATAAGATAGCAAGCAGTTCCATGTAGAAAGCCTGTTGGTCAGCGCCTCTGCAGTCTTCTGGGCGAAATATTTGCTTTTGTGGCAGTCGATAGAGCTTGAGCAAGTGGATTTGAATTTAAAGTCAGTCTGTCATGAATTATTATTATAACGGTCTGCGGAAGTTCCTGTGATGAAAGGAATGTCAATGTCAGTGTGCAACGTAAGATTAGAAACATAAAACGGGGTTTCTACAATGTTTCGGAGAACTTGTGACTGGAACGATTGGATTCGTTTTATATTAAATATATTTTCTGTTCTCCATAACTCGATTCCATATGTAAAAAGCGGTTTATTGGGGACTTTGTATGTAGTTAATTTATTAGACACCGATAATTTACAACGTCTGTCAAGTAGCCTAGACATGAGTCCGTGATTAAGTTCTTTTCTTTTCGGTTAAATGTGGTGTGCTCATGTCAGTCGTTTGTCCAAGTAGAGGCTATTAGATTTATATTAGAATATAAATTAAAATTTAAATAATAGATACATAGGGCGTCGTAAAATACTTACCTACCTACTTCCAGGCCTTAGCTTAGCCATCTAGTCGACATTCCCTATTTTCTTAATTGATTTCAGTTTACACATCTTATTCATTTACGTAGTCTAATTGTTATTGATTTGAATTTTATTCATTTACTTCGAAATATAGGAGCGGGAAGAGGAACGAAAAGATATTCCTGCATCCTCTCTATTTTGATTAGGCGATATCCCCCCTCCCTCTAGTAGTCTGGCGGCTTAACGGAATTACATACCGTTACATGACGGATAAGATCACCAAATTTGTTGTAAAGATACCTTAGAATATACTAATAAATTTTAGTCGCTAATAAATAAACTAATAAATCGAGCAAATGTCGCTTTTAACACCATCTAATTTTTACTGTTAATTTTTAAGTAAAGTTTTAATCTGACTTTTAGTAAAATCTAGTTTTAAACTAGGTGAATTTATCAAATACAGAATACATGGCCATCATCACCGAGGACGCCGGTAATCTTCGTGTCGACTCTCAGACAGGGATTATAACGAGTTAAATGTCCTACCGGGCACCGGGATTCGAACGCGTAATTATCTGTTATCACAAATCTTGGTTATCAGATTGCCGGGCAACGCACGGTGCTGTGCTGTGCTACTCAGTAATTCGGCCTCCTTTCAAATCTTATCTATGGTCTAATTAATTGAAACAAACGCTTGTCATTTACAGTGTTTTTATATTTTTTCTTGGACGTTTCAGAGATGATTTGCCCCCCTCTTCAACATACAATATAATATGTGTTTTCTGGGGCTACAACTAATTATTTATTGTACACTGACAATTATAAATAATACAATTATCTCTTACAACTAATAAGAATATAACTATGTATGTAGAAGCAACCTAGGCCGTGTGGGATAGATGATTATTTATTTGGTATAATTAGCCATGTATCGACCTTGGAGTTGTGAAGCTGGGTAACCTCATGTGAATGCTCTTAAATAAATAATTAAGGGGGGGGGGAAGATGGCGGTTGAGAGTGACGGTTTGCCCAAAAAATAGTAAGTACCTTCTGACAAAGTGCTGATCCCTTTAAGGGTTATTGTAACACAAGTTTCATTAAAAATAGCTATTAAACATTTATTTTTAAATTAATATTTTTTCAAATTTCCATCTTTTTATATTTATAAAGAAGTCAAACCAATCCACTAGGGCCATTATCGCCTCGCGCCAATGGTTAAAATTCTGCATTCTGGAATAAACGTTTGTCTGTTTTGGGAATTCAAAAAGCTTATCGATCATGTGTGCATTGTCAATCAAAGTGGAAAAATTATTTTCAACAGAAATTCAACAAATAATTTCAAAATTCTACAAATATTAATTCTAGCGGAACAAATATTATTTGGAATATCGAAAAGAGCTCTATCCGTCTGATAGCTCCAAAATCTGTCAGCAAATTCTTCATTGTCAGCGAACACCCGCAAGATGCACACTTGGTTGGAGATTTGCTGACAAGGTACTCGTAAGTCAGGCGCGTGTGGCATATACGTAACCACGTCTGTACGACCTCCTCTCTTCACCTATTTCGGAATAAAGATTTCCATGCATATTCTTTTAAAATGCTGCCAAATTTTTTTTTTTATGTAACTTTTACCTGAAGCTAATGTCTTGTCGTTTTCAACAGTTAGTTACTTAATAAATACAGTAGTTAGCAAATTAATTTATCCTTCTAATTTCTAAATATATGCATACTTATCGTCGGAACTATGTTAAAGTAATGAATTTAAACTTTCGAATATGATTATTCGTTACACATTTATATAAATCCTTTCTGTAGTACTCTCTTGAAGAATGTTAGTTGACACCTCACATAAGTAGGGAGAATTACTTGTATTGTTGGGAATTTGTTTACGGGTGGTGGATGCTATAGACCCATGACATTTTACTCTGAGAAGAAGAGAGGAACCTTAGATGAACTGCAGCCGTTTAGAGAAGAGGCCTCAGGTGGAAGGATAATTATTTATACCAACTAAATAACTATCTAGCCCAGCTGGACTTGAACCCGGGACCTGAAGTGAATAATCTCAAGTTTAATTGGTCTAGTCCACCCCCATCTTTAATGTAAATAAATCACCAAAAAAAAATAATAAAATGGCATCAAAAGTAAACACGAAAATTCTGAAAAACTAATTGACCGCGTTAGTACTTCAGAATTTTGATAGAAATTTCGGAAAATGAATACTCTCTAGGTAACTAAACAAAAGTGTAACCCCATTTTAGAAACAAATTTTTAAAGCTGACTATCCCCTTCAGTGTTTATAGCATGCAGATTACAAATTTTTTAGATTCTATGATACAATGAAATAACGACTGTACTAAATAAGAATATTATGAGATGTACATCTACTTATTTGGACACACACATAAGAGATGAATTAAAACGATCAATTTTAAACTTTGTTGTGATAATAAAACTGGTTATTTAGCATATATTTAAATTAATTCATATTATAGTTAACACTTCGATAATTATCTAATATAAACATATTGCTACTTTATTATTTTTGTCGTGATAATTCCCTAATAAAAAAAAAAAAAATTTAAATTTTCCCTCTAACGACTTATATCGATATAATTATATCGATTACTAACAATATTTTAAGTGTGTTATATAACAACTTATTTACAGGTAAATTATTAATTAATTATGATTGGTTTTACTTTGTATGAATGTTATTACACAGTAAAATATTTTTTTGAAATAGGATTGTAAGCCAGAAAATCATTTTTAGCTTTGTTTATATGCGTGTCAGCGTTGTTTGTAAACTTCTTAACCGTTAGGTTTTGGATGGCGTTTCTGAGCGTCGCTTGAAATATTTTTAGTGAATTACGTTTATGTAAGTACTTTTTTATCTTTATCTACTTCTTAAACACCGTATAAAATATTTGTTAATGTCACATCCATCGTTTTACTAACATTCCTTAAACTTGTAAGGTTAGCAGAACTAAATTACCTGCAAAATTGTTTTCATAACCTTTATAAACTACAAGCGTCCACTTTATTTTCTATTATTGTATCAAGAATTCGTGTAGCTATTTTTGTCTTCTGCCATCTGCCGCTTTAATTTTAACTGGGCACATGTTTTTCTCAGTTTGCATTGGTCGTGATTTTAAATTTTTTTTAGCCTAGCTGATCTGAATATTTTTTATATGTTAGTGCTAGCTGTGCCTTTAGAGACCTTTGTTGGTATATATATCTTAATTGTGTATGTTAATTATTGAAAAAAATTTGAAATTAATAATTTTCTTCTAGTTTACAGATAGCATGGACCGGCCAGCCAGATCACTTCGGAGATTGCCAGCACGATCTGCTAAATCTGCTGAGCGGAGTTTATCCAAAGGCAGGACAGGAAAAGATGTAGATTCGCCAAAACCTAGAATTTCTTCCCCTCGTTTTGCCAGGAGGACCCTGAAGGAACCTGATCAGAAGGAGACAATTATTAAAAATGCCACTCCACCAAGGAAGAGGTCTAGGTCCAGATCAAGTGCTAGGAAACGTCAAGAGGCAGTGAAGGATGTGAAAGAAATCAGTGATAATGAAGTTGTTGATAAAATGAATTCTCGTTCTTCTAAGGCTACAACTGCTGCTCCTGTTGCGAAGCTAGTTTCTAAAATAAAAGAAGGCATTGATCGTAAGTATTAGACCAATTGATGAATATTTTGAAAATGCTTCCTGTTTTAAGGTGATCTTTCTGTTTTAATACTTAGATTTAATGTGTTTTAACTTATAAAAGTGTTTCTTTATACTTCTTACATTTAGTTTTAAATTTTGTGATAAAAATTTGAGTTTCAATTTGCTTTGGTACTAGTTTGGAAGTAATCTGTTACCTGTCAAGATTTAAGAATCTAATAACTTCAAATATACCTAGATAATAAAATAAGTTTAATTCATTTTCTCAGATGTTTTTCAGTATAATGGATGGGTACATGATCAGAGGATCACACTGTAGATGGATGTGCCTAAAAGACCTAGGTGATTGATCGATCTCATTTGTAATATACTGACCTCAACTTAAATTGGAAAATGGTTTCAGAATTCCATCTACGATGTGATCTTATTTCTTATGTCATAGTGGAGTAACACTTATGATGTTTATTGTGAAATGGTGTTGATTAGTTTTTAATTGTTAGGAAAGATTATTTGACTGTGATTCTATCTATCCAAAATACCTAAATTGGTCAAGCATGAGTGTAAAACAAGGGGTGTATTGTTTGGCTTACTAATGTTTTTTTTTCAGTGTCCAAATCTGTTTATTGTCATTATATATCTTCCATAATATACTATATTAGTGCTAGTATTGCAGATATTTCTGGTCTAATACAAATTTTTAATCAAAATATTTCCCATGAAGCATATGTTAATACCCCCGACTACCTCATTTGTTGGTTTGTTTTTTTTAACCAAGAGTTTGTATGTGTAAAATTCTCTATAAAGTTCATTATGTTCTAAATATTTATGTAAGATAACAATATTTATTCACTTGTTAAAATTTGTACAAATTTATGGTATTTGATATTTATGATATTTATGGTATTTGCAGATGTACGCAATTCGGTGAGCCCTGAGGTGGAGGACGTTGTGCGCAGAAGTCTTTCTCGATTTGAAGGGGTTACGACTGAAGTGGTCAGTAACATTGTCACAAGAAGAGGTTTGTCACGTCAGAGTAGAGCATCTTCTGCATCTGTTGTCATCAATAGCATGTCAAATGTTGCCTCGTCTCAGAGTAAAATTGAAGAGGTAGTCGTTTTTTTTACTATTCTATGATTTTAAAATAATGTTCATTACATTGCATTATTATAATATCATTTAGCTTCTAAGATTGAAAGGTACCTATTCTGAAGCCCTACTTTTTGCCAACCCCAAAGACGATACTACCAATGTAGTTGGTCTATTGTACCTTCAACTCTGTCTCAAACCTTTTTGTTCTTCTAATGAAGTTCAAAAGGTTGGACCGTTTTATGAAGGTAGTTTCGTATACTTGTATTCTGTCTACGCCCAGAAGTCTGTATCTGAGGGATGCAAATCATGTAGGTCACATTCTGTAATGAAGTGAAGCGCAATTTCTGATGCGTTTCTGCACAAATTGCAGAGTTCATCATTTACTATCCTACTGATCTTTAAATGTGTTTTAAGTCTGCAGTGGCCTGTTAGTACTCCGATGACGAGTTGGATTTCTTCTTTAGTTAGGTCCAGCAGCCGCTTAGTTTTGGAGGGAGGAGGGGCTTTTTATAAATTGATTGGCTTGTCTAAGCCCAGTGCATTCCCTCCATTCTTTACCTGCTCTTTTCCAAGTCCGATCAAGGACTTCTTTCCGCTTACCTACAGAGGACTAATGAATAGACTGAGCAACCCACAAGTAAAATAGTGAAGGCGGGACTTGCCTCTATCTGATCAAGTGTTGACCGCTCAGGCGGGAAGGCATATATCATGGCTGCACCAGTGACCCAACTCACTACCGGGAAGGCATATATCCTGTTCACACCAGTGATCCAACTCTTAATGGGAAGGCATATATGCCGTCCACAGGCAAAGGGTTAATAATTTATGATTATGTTATAATTTGTCTCTGTCTAAAATGATGTCGGTTCTCACAAATCGAATTTGATGATTAGCATAGTTTCTTAGCAATGCTGTGAGTAAATAATTTTTATGATGATGTAGAGATGGTTGACCGTTGATATAATATGAGAAGGAGTTAGTCGAGGGTGCGGTCAAACAAATAAAAAAATTAAAATATATCAACCATTTTAATTTTTGCCGACGTTTCGACCCACTTTGCAGGTCGTCTTCAGGGCTACAAAAAATACAAAACATGTTGAAAAATAAAAAATAAATATAAGTATATATAAAATACGAAGAAGTTGTCAGATACAGAAATAAAAGATGGTATCAGAGATATAGTGGTTGACAATGTAGTTAAACATTAAGAATTATATATGTAGAAGATATATAAAAAAAGGAAAATAAGTATGAATAAAAATAAAAAAAAAGGAGAATATAGCATGTAAGTTAAAAAATTCCCTATCTTTTATCGCAATCTGTTTACTTTTAACTTACATGCCATATTCTCCTTTATTTTTATTTTTATTCCTACTTATTTTCCATTTATTTGTATCTTCTACATATATAATTCTTAATATTTAACTACATTGTCACCCACCATATCTCTGATACCATCTTTTATTTCTGTATCTGACAACTTCTTCGTATTTTATATATACTTATATTTATTTTTTATTTTTTAACATGTTTTGTATCTTTTGTAGCCCTGAAGACGACCTGCAAAGTGGGTCGAAGCGTCGGCAAAAATTAAAATGGTTGATATATTTTAATTTTTTTATTTGTTTGACCGCACCCTCGACTAACTCCTTCTCAAATAATTTTTATGGGTGAAAATAGTTCTCCTTTTTAGTCCTTCCTGCATGGTAACAGGCATAGTTAGTTTCAAGTGGTATACAAAGATTAGTAAATTTTCCTCGAGGGATCAATACTTTTTAAAGTAAAAGTGACCATTAATGGCTTAAGTGTTTAAAATAATGAAATCAATGAGAGAATAATTGAAACAAAGTTTAAATTTCAAATTATTTATATTTTTTTGTGATTAAAATTTGGATTTGCCTATTGGTAACATAATATAGATTCTATTATCAGGATGTGTAAGTAGTGTGCTTGATATAATTTAATCACATTCTCAATTGGATGTACTAGGAAGTGTTTGGGACAAAAAAAAAAAAATAAATAAATAACTTTCCTGTTGCTTAGAAATATGCTAATTAGTTTTTTTTTGTTTTTTTAAACAGGAGATCATTTTAACTGAAGAGCAAAGTGTTTTGACTAATCACATTGGTACGCTTAAGGAGGAGAAGTCCTCTGCTCCTCGAGATGCCAAGAAAGTGAACTATCTGAAGGTGTTCGGTCTTGTTCTTCTGGGAATGGCAATTTGTGCTCTTGTCGTCTTGTTCCATGTCGTCTGTTCTAAGGTTTGAATCTGGTTCATTTACAATTGCCATATTATATATTTTATTTTATTTTATTTATGCAGTATATATGTATATATATATATATAACGAATGCGTGATTTGTAGTTGTTACTAATTTTATCCCACGGTTTCACTCATCTTATATTTGGATTATACATTCTATTTTAATGCACATGTTGAGTAAATCATCAGATGCATCTAATGAAACTGAATAACATCTTAAATTTAAATGAAAAAAAAAAGGGAGGGGGAACTATCACAAAAACCAAACTGATTAGACAAAGAGTCCTGAGGTGGATTTTGGTGGTGATGACAACTTTTAATGTTGCAACTCTACTGTTTTTGTGGGCCTCAGCTTGATTTTATAAAGCCTATGTCAATAGAAAGACTTATAAATGCAATTATTGTGATCAAAAGTTTCTAAATCATACTGGTACTACGATAAGCGTGTTAAAACCAACAAACTTTACATCTTTATATCGACGGTCATATCACAAAAGCCTGTTAGTTCAAAAACTTAAATATTCTGATGGAAAAAAAAACCAGCACATATCATCTATTTTATGAACCAGATTTTTCAGTTCTACTTTACAAATGTTGCTCTAAATTAATGGGTGGGCTAACATCTCATAATCATACTATAAATGGAATTTTAAAAATGGCTGAGTATGTCTGAAAATAGACAGAGGCGACTGTGCCGTTTAGTAAGCTCCCGACCTCAACTGATAAAAGTACCTATGTCGGATTTCTTTATCCATTTTGATTGCATGGAAGTTAAAGAAAGCATTAATGTCATTACAGTTGATTACGGTCCCGATTTTTAGCAAAGGACCAGTTTGGAGATTGCAGAAGTCATAACTTTAGGATCTTTATAAACGGAGAATGTAGCATGATCACTTAAATACTACACTGCTCTTGGAATCCCATTTATATTGTAATCGTGATACCTTGGTCTCGACCCACTAAAGTAAGACGGCAAAACTTGTAAAGTAGTATTAGGTTATTTAATTTTATTAAGCTTAAAACTACGATGTTATGTTGTAAATAAAATTTTTAGTTTGTATTTCTGAATATGTAAGAGACCAAGATGGATCAGGAAAGCTCAGTACTGTAATTTCTAATCAAATTATTCTTACAATCTTTTACTGTCTGACTCTCGTTAGAGTATTTTTTATGAAGTTAGTTCAGGTAGATACTCATTATAGATATCTGGATTATAGATTCAAATATTGAACATAAAATTTTAGTTTAAATAAATTCATAGTGGTTAGCTATTTATTATTACTTATGTTTCATAACAGGCCCTTCAAGGTTAATTCAATACTCATTGTGTCATATTTTATTTGGGTTTTGCCTAATCAAATCTAAATTGTTTGTATAATGCTTTCCTGTATAATTTTATTTATATAAAATAGACATACAAATTTTTAATCTTGATTATTGTTCTGTTTTTTTTCTTCTTGAAATTACAAGCACTTTACTATGAATATTTTAATTTTTGAAGCTTATAGAATTTCTTTTATAGGATGATTGCCGACTATCATTATCGAATCTGCCTAAAGCCTTGGAATACAGCCAGTACTTTGACTCGTATATTTGGCCTGTATACTCTCTTTCTCTGCTGTTGCTCTTTGCTGGCTGTCGTTTTACTTCTGTACGACAAAGGAGGCCTCAACATTTTTCTATATTTGGTGAGTATTCTATAGAACTGTTTAAAGGTAAAGGCTTATTAATTGCTAATGCAAAAACTCAAGGTTTAATATTTTTCTCTGTTTACTTCCTCAAAGCTCTACTGCAGCGGTGAATCTTGCTCAAAACAGATAAGATAAAAATCTAGTAGTTTTAAGATGGCAGCAGCTTCGATTTCTTAACAATTGAGATGGATATGAATTGATATCTTTGTATTTTAATGTCTTGGTTATATTATGTGGTGTTTACATAAGTGGAATCTTTTCACCTGAAATCCACACCACATTTACTTACCTTTAGAAACATTTTATTAGCCAACTTTTTTTAAGGGTTATTAAGTTCAAAATCTAAGATAAAAAGTAATTATGAAGCTAAGAATTCAATCAGAATAAAAAAATGTGGTACGAGCATCATACAACTTTTACTTACCACTCTACTTTGTGTAGAAATTGTTTTTAGAAATAGAAGTACATACGAATGAGTAACGAAGACTGAGGATTTTGAAGAGTGAGGGATGGGCAGAAAAATATTATGCCATTATACGTCTCTCTCCCCCTCTGCTCACCCGCATACTCATCTTAGATCTACTGTGTTGGGGTCAGGGGTATTTCAGAATTAAAATGCAGTTCTTTCCAGGGTGTTTCATCAAAGGTGGTGAAAATACGAGTAAAATTAAACGATGGGAAAGAAGGGAAAAAATGAATGAGACCTGTAAACGAGGAAAAATGCATGCACATCAAATAATATTAAATAAAAATATTCAATAAATTAAAGATGGAAATTAATAAATAATCTCCCTTTCGAATGTTAAAAAGTTATATTTAAATAAAAAAGAGATACATACAAACAAAAGTTAAAACAAACGAAATAATAAAGAATGGTATAAAAATTCCTTGAAATAAAAATAGAACATAAATACAATACAATCCTATGAAAATAAAAGATTGTCCATCAAAAATAACAATAAACTTCCAAAATAATAATTAATATTAAAAAAAAAAAAAATGAATTTAGCGTTTAAAAGTTCACAAAAAGTTAATTAGAGGAAAAACTCAAATTAATATTTAAATGTGCCTTGGTGATGATGGCGGAGAGATGAAAAAAAAAATGATCCAAGTTGGAGGCAGAACCTCTTTTTCCAATGAGATTACCTTTAAGGTCCTGCTGTCGATGGTGGGAAGTATCGAATCGATACGCTTATCGATCTTGAGTGATGATAGCCGCTGCCACAGCTGTAGTTTTACAATGACATAAGGTTTGGTTGAGCTGGGAGCAGCTGGTGGGGTGGGGGGGGGGATCTGATGTCCAAATACCTAGATCCTGTGTCTACGAAAGCTCGCTCCTTACTTCTGATGTGCTGATCAGCTGTGCTATACAAAAAAGCGCTATACTAGAGACCAGTGGGGTTGAGTTAACTGGAGCAGCTGATGGGAAGATGGGGAAAGATGTCCAGTAAATGGACCCAATGCCAACGAAAGCTCTCATTGTAATATATTGGTCGTCTTAATTTCTAAGACTAAGTATTACTGCTGCGCTGGAGTTTATACAAATGCGATAATATATCGCGAATGAAGCTAAATATATAAACAATATGCACTAAGATACATTTGGGGGACAACTATCCCTCAGTTTTTTACCAAAAAAATAAATAGACATTTATTTAATTAACATTCAAAAAGAGTAAATGGTGAGAAAAAAAATATAAAGATACAAGCATAAGCATATGCGGCGTTCACACACTTTATGTTCAATAATAAGGGTATATGTACTGATAAAATTTTTTTTAGTTAAGTTTTATATCTATCCTATAATATAATGAAATTCTAATTATATTTAAACATCTTTTGAATTTTTTTTTAACAACTTTTTTTGGGTCCTCCCCTTCCTCCCCTTTAAGGCTACACAGGGTTTTTCCGGACCAGGGAGTGTGGGTGGGGATTTTAAAAGACCCCTGGGCACCGGGACGCGAACTCGTGACAATTTTTATCATTGTATCATATATCAGGTTACTGGGCACACACGTTAGCCCATTCGGACATCCTGCCCACTTGGAAAATTCACTTGTCAAAATTTAAGAAATACCAAATAAAAAAAAAATCCAGAAAAATGGAAACTTATTTTTGCAACGTGAGCATCTCCTAACAGTGAAAATAATGTTTTTAGTGTTACTTTGCAAACAGAAGTGTATATAGTAGTATCCACTTTTGGTACCAAGCTCTTTTAATAACTTTATTATTATGAGATAGTCTGTTCTAAAGGAAACATTAATTTATTTGATATTTTCAGGTGCCATAGTTGCCATTCTAGTCATCAGTTTGATATTCGCCAGCCAACGTTATTTAGGTTGCTTTCGATTGTTGACAATCCCACCACTCATAGGAGCAACTATTATCCATACATTGGTGCTTGTCCTTTATGCTGGTAATTCCAGTATGCTTGGCAGTAAAGTACATCTGGAAACGCTTGTTCACATTACTTCCTCAGTATTGATGGTGAGAAATTTCACTCATTATTTTTTCATAGCATTTTATTATATAACATCTATAATACCTTGGTTTGTTTTTCCTATAAATATTTTATTTTAATTAAGATCAAGTTCGAATTCTTTGTGAAAAATTAAAACTCTACTATATGTATATACAGTAACATTTGGATGTAATGTTGTTTTATTCTTATTATTTCGTATATTTTGTTTGTAGATTCTGCTGGGCACATTCATTGGTGCTATAGAAAATGCTCGGACGACGCCTAACTTCACTGTGTTGTTGTTGGGAGGACTTCAGGTATCTACTGCCTTGGACCACCTCCTGTTGCCACCGCTCATGCTGGGACTTGGCCCTATTGGTATCTTATGGCTATCTCTTCGTCCCTTTTTTCTATTTTTGTCTCAGACGTACCTCTCTGCCAACAAGTAAGTCACCTTTGTGTTTTATTTTTTGTTATAAAAAAATTACTCTGGATATTTGTCATATTATGTTTAGAGTGTCAACCGGACCTGAAAAATCTCGAATACTTGAAAAAGTCAGGAAAGTTCATTATAAAGTGCTGAAAGTCGGGTTATTGTGCAAGCTAAGAGTTACTGGTACTAGTGAAGGGAACTACAACTACTCGTCAAGTTTGGCTTGTCCTTTATGTTAAGCCCTGATAACAGCTATCTTGAGAGGTTGCTGTTATGTACTTACCAAAGTCGGATTGTCAAGATTCATTTACTGCGGGATACCTAGCAATAAATATTATGTGACCTAGATGGGGACCTATGCCCCATTATGCTCAGCCATCATGTCCTCGAGCTAGGATTATGATTAAAAATAATTGTTTGTTACAAGTTTAAATAATGTTTTATTCACCTATAAAAGTATGTATATGACACGTTCACGGCGGGTTCATAAAATTTCCAGATAAACATTAATTTTTTTTAAAAAATCACTAATTATTTTTTTCTTAAAACTATTGATTTTTACATTAATTTTTTATCAAAGATTACAAGACCTTACTGCCTTTCATCACGCTGATAGAGTAAATAAAAATGATAGATTTTCTGAGTGATTTTTTCTTAGATTAGCCTGTCTTCGATTTCTTTATGCAATTAGAATAAAAAATATAATTTATTTCTCATGTGAGACTGAATATATGGCATAGTTTTTAACAAAGGAAGCAATTCAGCAAAAAAATGTTATTGTATGATCTAAGAATGATTTAAAAAAAGTTAATTGTGACAACACAACCAAAAAATTATCTGTACAAAAAATTCATAGAAATAATTTTTATGTCAATAAACTCAATTATTTTTTATATCCCAAAAACGGCATGTTTTGGTAACTTAAAATTATTCAGGGCCAAACATTTTTCCTTTTACCTTACTCTATGACAAACAAGAATAATTAATTATATATTGTATGTTCTACTTCAAATACCTTAATGGCCTGAAATTTTTCCAAAATAACCTGAAAATGTTCCATAATTCCATAATAATAAGGTATTGGACATTCTTTATGGCTTAATAAATCTTCTATGAGTTTTCTCATTTCCGTTAAAGGCTTTTTCAGATTTCACAAAATAAATTCACCAGGACACGTCTACCTACAATGTGATACATTCTGAATAGATTAATGGAAACGATAAATTTAAGTTTTTAATTTAAATTTTATTTGGTTTTCATTTGAATTTTTATTTGTTTATAATTTTTTTTTAATATCTACTTACTTTGTTAAAGCATGCAGGTAAATGTCAACAATGTAAAATAAAGATGCCTTATTTGCTTTTGAATTGTATGAAAGATATAATAAACTATCACAATAGAATGTGCAAGGCTTAGATGAAAATATGTAATTACTTATAAATTTGGTACCTACTTATATTTGTGTTTTTCTGTTTTTCCTTAGCGTTGTCCTTGGAACATATGGAATGGCAGGTTTAATGTCAGTTCATGTCATCGGTTATGTTTTATACAGATACAGCTCTAGTTTAAAGATTTTCTTCCTTCAGGATCCTTATTCTTCAAAATTTTCCAGTGAGTATTAAATTTATTTCTTAAAACTCTTGTCTAAGAGAAACCATGATTCAAGTTATGTGTTAATTTCTTTTTAAATTTGATTAAAATCTACAAAATATTGCATATTTTATATTCAAACAATTTGATTTATTAGAGTATAACGTTTGCGGAGACTTCATTGGAGGAGCTTGGGGAGTGGTCAGGCACCCGCAACTTGCAGGTCTGCTCGTCACTGAGTTGTCGTGGGCATGTACTGTACTGCCTGACTTCCTCGGACTAGTGCTGATCCTGTTGAGTGTATTGTCTACAGTGCTTTTAGCTAGGACTGCAGACAGGCGCCTCTCAAGGACTTACAGGGCAAAGATCACTTCGTCGCTCATACCATATATACCTGTCTAAATTAGTTGCTGTATTGTGTGCTATTATGATAGGACAGGTATTTTTAATTTAAAAACAGCAAAGGATTTTTTTTAATATATATATAGTTGTTTTAATATACATAATAAATACCAAAAAGTACAATTTTCATTAAAAAAAAAAATCTTCAAACTTAGTGTTGTACAATGAATAAACTATATAAATATAGTATTGATGACCAGCTTCTTTGTATGTATTTACTGATAGCAGTCTTCATGAAAGCCATATTTAATTAATTTGCTTTCAGGTCAATTTCATACTGTAATTTTATGTATTTAAAGTAGATTACTGTGGTTATAATTAAAGATGGATCCTTTTTCTTGTGTCATGAATTTTATCTAACTAATTTTAATATTTGATTGGTAACACAACACAGTTAAAGCATTATTATCATAAATAGTTGGTAAACATTACTGATTACCAAGTACAGAATTTTCAGGCCGAGAAAATCCCTTAAATATGGTATATAAAAAAAAAAGCTACATTAAAATTGATAAAATGTTTTCTCTAAATGTTAATAATGAGCTTTTGATGAATATAAAGTAAAACATAATTTGTTGTATGTATGATGATAGAAATTTATTGATTGTTTAATATAAAAAAAAAATTGTATGAGTAATCAAAATACAACAAAAAATATTTTCAGAAAAACATCACTTTTTTCACAAACAGTATAGAAAGGATCCACTTTTGAGTTTTATCTTTAATTTTTTTTGAGACAATGGACAGGTTTAGATTAGAATACAGGCCACACCACAAAGTTATTTAAAGGATATAATTGTGGGTTGATGGTTGACTGTAGTGAATAATTGAAGAGAAAGATGGTTGGGGGTGATCAGTCAAAATAAATAATTGTATTTATTTTCAAATACAATTAATGAATACAATTATTTATTTTTACTATTTTGTTTTGACTCATCGCCCCAACACCATCCTTCTCTTCAATTATTTAAAGGATATTTCTTTGGCATTGTGGCCGATGCTGATTTGATATTTTTGTTACTTAGTAATTTTGGTCTCTTTAATAATACTTTTTGTTTTTGATATTTCATAATATGTTGTGTTGATTATAAGATTTGGATTGAATAACTTCGTATATTTTATATTCCAAAAAACAAAACATTTTTAATTTGCCAAAAACATTAAAAAAAATATCATATCTGCCTCTATCATAATGCTATAGATTTGATGAGCGTCAATCAGTTTTTAACACCTGCTTAATGAATTAAGTTTAGTAAGTATTTTATAATTTTTATGAAATCTATTTTCATCCAACCAATACTTTTTTGCCTTAAGGCTTTAAGGTGGCTAAGTAATGCTATTTGTTAAGATAGTAGGTGTTACATTTAATGTGGTGATGAGCAATTTTGTTGAGCCACATTTGGTACAGCTTTAAAATAAAGTTCTTTTTTGCTCTAAGACATCTGTTCTTACATCTGCTTAAATTGTTTCCTCTATTCCATAACATGTATCGTATCATACGTGCATGTGATGAGAATAAATTGCTTTTTCTGTTGGAAAAAAACAAGTGCACGATTTCCATGATCAACAAATTAAGGCTTTACTCATAATTTCGTAAATTCCATAAAATCCTTGCCAGTGGTGTTATCCTTTGTTGAATACTATTGTTTAATTGCACTAAAATTATTATTAAGTTAAAAATTCTTGATATTTATTTGTTATTTATTGATGTGCTGAATAAATTTTTAGTCATTATAAAGTGAAACAGTAAAATTTAGTTAATTTTTTTTGTGTGAAAATGATTTTGATGTGTCGTAAATTTGCTTTCAATAGGATGTAGGTATTAAATACAAAAGAAAATTTCCCTCTACATCACTGATTATGGGATTTCTAAATATGAAATGATTTAATTGCTGCTCCATGGATTTTAAATATTTTATGCTGATATTAAGTGTTAACATATTTTTTTTTTGTAAAAAAATAAAAAAAAAATGATGAAAGTATAAACTAATTAAAATAATCAATATAATTTTTATCCATGACTTAGTTCTTGTTATAAATTTTTGCTGTTTTAATTGTTAGTTCTAAGTTGATTTTGAATCTTCTCTTCTATCCACGACATTTACTGAAGTACAAATATTTGTTGCGGCTTTATATTTTATACGTATATGTGGATAGTTATTTTTTGTAGTAACAATTTTATTGCTATAACATAAAATCATGGATGTAGTCATTATATTTTTTGCCTTTAATTTCTTAAATTTTCTTTGCATTTTATTGGTAATAAAATAATAAAACATTAATAGTATTGCTCAAACCTGACTGCGCTTACATTCAGATATTTTAATGAGATTAATATCTATTATTTTAATATTTTAGTGATTTTTTAATTTTGTTCTTTCTTCCTTCACTCTAGGCTTTTTATTTCTGATAAGAAACAGTTATTGGAACTCATAATTTTATTCTTTCTATTTATTATAATTGGTTTATTGTTAAAAGTCACTATGCACACTTTTGATGCAGTTTAACATTAAAGTAAATATTTTTGAATTTTGATCATATTAATCAATACAAAAACCACGAGTATTTGGCGGGATTTGTTTTTTTCCCTGAGCCTCATATATTATAAAATTTTCACAAATATATAGATATATTTATAGATGATATTCTAATTGATGAATATGTTAGTAAATATTTTATAATGTTAGCGAAAAAACTGTTTCAATTTTGTACTACATTAGTTTAACGATAACTAGTGATTTGTTTTTATAACATGATACTTAATGGCTTTTCTCAATGAACCAACAATATTGATGATTTCTAATCTATTTTTTTTTCTTTTTCATTTTTTGCTTCTTATATATTTCATAAAACGTAACCATAAATGGTTTTCATGATTTCGATTAGTTGTTATATTTTGTTGTTTTGATGAGGAATTACGTTTGTTACTCTGACCAAATGTTAACCCTATTGCTCAATTAGCATATCTTGATTAAATAGTTAAAGGTATACCATGCTGGAAAACATTACATCTATTTTTTATAAATCTAAAATTATTACTGTTTGTTAGTAATGCATTCTTATCATAAAATATCAAGTAGCTCTTGTTTAATAAGATTCAAATTGTTCATTTTTTAGTTAGTTACATTATAAGTTTACCAACATTCGATAATATTTTTTATTTGAAATAAGACAAATATTAATTTTTCCCAAAAATACCTTTTCTCAGATATTTGAAATGGTGCCGGATAGTAGAACATGAAATGTATTTTGGATCTCAATGTAGTTTATATTGAATGAATGAATGTATTGCAATTTTTACCAGAAAAGAGTTTTTATACATTTATATATAAATAAAAGAAATTATAAAGATTTGTTGTTAAGTAACAAAACTCTATAATATTTATTTTTTATTTGTGTTAATTACTTTGTATCCTTGGATATTGATTGTATTTTAGTAATAAATAATTTTAATATGTTTGTGTTACTTATTATATATACACTAATTGTGCGGCTCTAAAAGCTTTTATCAAAATTATTATTTTTGTGTTGGGTAATGAACATATTTTAACACTATATGTCCTATGAGATTAACTTAATCTGCAAAAAATATAAAAATCAAAAGATTTACAGAATTTTTGGCTAAGAATGGCTATCAACATCTAAATATTTTTCTGTTATAAAATGTGCTTAATGCGGTGCTTGTTTTTAGCTGTAGCTGGAGTAGTTAGAGCCGTTGCAATTCCACTTAACATAATGCCAGTGAGGTGTATTTTTTTGTTTTGTTTTTTATTTATTTTTTAAATTAGAGTAAGATAGATGGTATATATTATAGATATATTTAAGTTTTACGTGTGTTCACATTCTTATTTATTTCGTGTCACACATAAAGGAGTGTTTTTTTTTACAAATTAATTTTTAAACAATGTGTATTTTAATCAGGAATACTATTCTGATAATGTAATTTTCCTGTAAATAGTTTATAAATGATGAGGGTATATATTTTAATACTAAATGAAATATTTTAAAGATGTTATATGAATCTTTAAGAATAATGCAATTATTCTGCCATATTTATTCATCACAAAGGAATTTATTGTAAATGTAAAAAAATACAATAAAAGTAAAAAAAAAATATTGTAAGTATGTAGAAAATATATTAAGTCTTAAAATTAAAATGTATCTTCAGTACAATCGATACAATGGTGTTGGCCAATTTACCACAAATCTTTATAAGTTCAGTGCTGATCATTGGGTGCAATAAATTAGTCAAAGTTTCATTGTTCATAATCCTAAAGATGAATACTTGTATATATTAAGAATTAGTTTGTCGGGAGTTGTGGTCAATCCCCAACATACAGACCCCAATACATAACCAACATACATTGTTAAGAATTGTATCTTCTTCGACACCAAGCTTCATTACTGGGTTAACAGAAGCATACGTTTTAAAAATGCTGTCAATATAAAGACTGTTAGTGAATATATAATCTTAAAATCAATAGTATTTTCATAAAAAGCGGCTTTTTACCTCCTGTAAGCCTCACGGCGAACCAACCCCCATTGTACAAATTATACAACAGTTCATTTAATTGTACAACTCGTTTGCAATTGCCACATCCTCTTCCCCTGACTTACTATTCCTTAAATTAGAATTACAGTCAATCATTGCCGTTCTATCATGAATATTTATAATAGGTGTTAATTTTTTCCGTTATTTTAGTAGATTAGTTATTGTTCGCCCAATTTATATCACCTATTTTTCGTATCTAATTATTAAAAAAATTAAGCTATTGCTAGTTTAGTATTAAAATCTGTGATCTAATTATTAGTAGCAGCTATTTGAAATGTTCATATCAACAATCATTATGCTTATGATTCGTATTATTTTTTTGCTTTTATGTGATATATTTGAAATTTATCATACATAATTATTTTGACATAGTTTTTTAAAAAGGCATCTGTCCCATTTAGCAAACTTAACTGAAAACTAAAAAGGAATAATTTTTCCATAGCACATTTAAAAAATTTTAATAGTAGTAAACCGTGCTAAAAGCCTTTCTATTTGGGAACCACAGCAGAAAGATGTTTTTAATTTAGTGTTTATCGTTCATAATAAATTGAAATCTAATTTTTGAATTTTTAGCACTTAAGCCCTTTACAAAAAATTATGTCAAGAATTTATATGTAACAAGTTACTATTTGAATAATTTCATTTAACTAAAGAACTTGTTAAATACATATGTACAGAAAATAGTGAGATTTTTAAATTTAATGAAATTTAAATGCTTTGTTTTAGCATGAATAGTTATTTCTTATAAAAAATTAAGAATGATTACTTTTTCCTACCATAAAAGATGTTCACAGTGAAAAGACAGTCTTATTTCACTAGTTAAAAATACCAAAATTATTAAAGTAGAGATTTGTTGAAGCTGAAATATCTGTTTTCAGATCGATGATGTTTCAATGCTAACTGTATATTTATTTGCACCCACCAAAGCCATTGTATTGTAAATAAGTTTTAAATATTTAAAATTTTATTAGTATTTAAGTTATTACTTGCAATAGATAGTTTAATTTTTAGTTTGTAAAAGTTTGTACAAATTGTCATTCATAAAAGACGATTAAATAAGATAGGATTATTTTTTCTTTTAATAAATTAATTAAATTAGATTTTGTTTTTATGTTCTGATGTAACCTCTATTTTGAAAGGTTCATGTACAATTAGGTAACATTTTATTCCTGTTACCTTATTGAAAATATTTCAACATCAAACATAAATCATTAAAAGATATGCCTTAAATTGATTTTTTTTTTCTTCATCCAATCCACACTTGCGTTATATCTTTATAAATTTATAAGGCTTACGAGATTGACTGTTTCAATGCTATAATTTCAGGAATTGCCAGTTGGAATTGAAACAATTTTTTTTGTTTAGATTGTTTCTTGAGGAAGGCTTTAAGGCAGGGATCCCCAACGCAATGCCCATGGGCCAAGCCAAATTGTGCCCCTCTAGCCTAATCTGTAACAGAAATCACTATGGCAGCTGGTAACTGAATTGTGCAGTGTTATTCAACAATTTTTTTTATTTTTATAAAGTGTTTTTAAAAATATAATTAATTGTGTTTCTTTAAAAATAAGTCATTAAGATCATAGCTTCAGCAATCTTCATAATTATTTTCCTATTACTTTCACTTGCCTGTATATTTTATTTTTTGAAAAACAAAAACTAAATTACTAAGTTAGTAATTTTGCATTTAACGTATCTAAACACTAGTTAGGTGCAGGTTACTTAACAGACACTCCAAAATATCCTTAACTAACAAACTTACCATCTATATATTATTTTTAAAACCTTTATGGATTTACAGGATAGAGCTACAGGGCATCGCAAAATCCTCTAACATCCTTCAAATTCAAACTTTTCAGTCAAACGACTTGCTACACAAAGACCTGGAGGACATCCAAATGGTTTCAGAGACTGCAACACAGTACTATAGAAACTTCCACCAAAACTAACTTATAACACAAACCCGTTAGACCAAGAACTTATTTCTACCACGAACCCGACCAGTACATCCCATCCCGAGTTCTTTTGAGTACGTGGCTTATAGATTTTCTTAATATGTAGTGTGCGCATATTTGCATAAAAACCAGAACTGACTTACAACACAAAGCTATATTCTTATGTAAAATAAAAAAACAATTTAATAATACTTAACGGTTCGCCTATCACACACTTTCACTTACAATCCTACGTTGAGTAAAAATAGGTATTTTCATATAAAGGGATGTGAAAATAAAAATTGTAGGTTGTATAAAATATTCATTTAAAATAATTATCATATGATTTTCACTCATAACTAATCTGTTGAAGTTCTAAATTTTTCTTAACTGTCCACTTCCCTCTACAACTATAATTTTGAATTATTTATTTAATAATATGAATCTCTACATATTTTTTTTAATCAAGCTAAAGTGCTACAAAATTTGTTTGGTCCAATAAGAATGCCTTGGCTAAAAAAAATAATTTAAATTTGCATGTCTATAATATAGCACATAAGCATACAATTTTTTTTTATCGTTGGGTATTTTTATTAGGTATATATGCAAATTTTGGTTTTCATATTGCTGTAATTTATTTATTTAAATCTTAATTATTATCAAAGCTATTGTTTATGAAAGCCACACATATACCAGAGGATCCTGTGCATTCTTCGCGTGAGATATTAGCATATTAAGCATGTTCAGATATAATCATAAAATTCTGATTACACTAAAGCCCCCTCAATGCTTCTCCGGACGGTCTTCGTTTTTAGTTCTCTAACTAACCCAACTTATTAAGCATTATTTATCCTTTATTTATTATAAGATTATTATATAGTTTATATTTAACCATTTTTATTACTAGTAACAGTGAAATGTTTATTTATTTTAAATAAGTAAAGCTAATTCAGAGGAAGAAATTTTGAGAATTTGGTATTTAACCTCTGAATATTTTAATAAGGATAATACCTGCATGATATTAAAATTCACTAGATTTTATTTTGATAAATAAAATCTTGGGTAGAGCTGATTTTGATGAAATTGTAAAATATGCAAAATTGATAATATGAATGGCACTTCTCGTTAGTCATCTTTATGGGAAAAGTTGCTGAAAACTTAATTTTTGTTAAAAATCAGAATCAAAATTTTTCACTACAATACTTTGCATTATTGTATAATTCAAGTAAGTGAAAGTAATTATGTTAAAAAAAGTTAATCCTTCATAAAATGTTTTAGAATAATTTAAATTAAATTTAATAAAATTTCAATCATTACTATCAACATATATTTAATAGTTTATTTTATTATATTTACATCTTCTCTTAGAATTTATTTCACAACAATTTCATGAATGCTTCCCTTTCTGTTGTATCTTTCATATTACAAATTTCATATTTTCTTTTAAGTAATTTACATTGTTGTAATTTAAACCTTTGTTCGTTTACTTTTCTGTTTAAGTAATCTACTTCCATTTTATCTAATATTTCTTTAGATTTAACATCTTCTGTGGGAAACTTATGCTCTATGATTTCTAAATTATCTGAAATAAAAAAAAAATCCTATTAGTTTTACTCTTTTCTATTATCAATATTACTGTGGACAATAAAACCGATGAAATACTGGCAATAATAAGTAAGACTCAGCATGCACTCACACCGAGTATGTCAGCCCATCTAGTCACAACAAATCCATGTAACTGACACTAAAATTCAATTAAGTAGATGGGGTTGGTTAAAAGTAATTCTTTAAACTGATGTCTTCAGTTTTATCATACCTTTACGGTACTCATATTAAAAAACTAGAGGCAGCTATTAGATCTGATAAATAAACTTTAAAGGTTAAAGATAAACTAAATATGTTGTAATCTTAGATTAATAGTCTTAGCGATTCTGTATAGATTTTAGTTGGAGAATTGATGGAATAAAAAGTTTTCTAACTATTTTTCAAATTGTTTGGTAAATTGTAAATATTATTGTAGAATTAATGGGTATTAACACTAAAATGTTATGAGTAGTTGAGTAGGATATATATTAATATTTATTATTATTATATTTATGTAAACTATATATGCATGCAATCTTATCAAGTATGCGGTGTGAATGTGAATTTTTTGAGAAACAAAAAAAAAATAAAGTAAATCAGAAACTTGGATTTATTTATTAGAACAATTAACATTTAACTAAAAGAACATATCATAGGGGTGACCCTTTAAAAATAAATGTTTGTTGTATTAAAAAAAATATATATATATAATATAAAAGAAGATCTGGGGAAAGAGACTATAAATATCTTTAGAAAAATGTTAAATAAAATAGATAAACCAATAAAACTTAACGATCAAATTGATGGTAGTCCACTGTTTTCTAGATACAAACCCTTAAAATATATAAAACATCTTTCAGAATCCCTCACAAAAACCTTTTTGGAATATAATGTTGATGAAATAAAAATAATGTACTGAATCTGAAGCAAGCTTCACAAAAATTTGACAGCACTAAAAGATAAAATAATCACAAACCTAAATCATAATAATTTAATCGATAAAATTAATTGTCTTCATTGTCTGAAATCTTGTATAGGCATGACTACTCGAAACCTCAATAATAGACTTTATCAACATAAAAATTCACTTACTGATTATATTATATAGACAAAAATGAAGGAAAAAAAGCCTAAAACAACTTTAGCAAAACTTTCATCTGACTTGAAACATAAATTTGATTTTGAGAAACCAGTGATCCTCCATGCAGATAATACTGTACAAAAATTAAAATATTTGGAGGTACTTTATACATCAGAGAGCCTTCTTGATAGGGTGGTAAATTTTAAATTTAATGAATGAAAAATTTAAATAATTTATTTTCTGAAACAATATATATCGTGAATAAACAATGATGTTAATAGACATCTGATTGAGGTATTAAAATCAATAATGTATTTTTGGAAAATATATATTATGAAATGAAGAAAACAAAAACAGCTTTGTTTAAAACAGTATTTTTGCCTTTCCTTTTGTATGGTGCAAATACTTGGACGGTCCTGGACAAACATTCAAGTAAAGTAACGGCTATAGAAATGAGATTCCTCAGGAGAGTTCTTGAAAAAACACGAAGAAACCGCTGGAAGAACAATAAGATAAGAGAGGAACTAAGAATAAGGCCTTTAAAACAAGTCATAGAGGAGCGCCAACTGAAGTGATTTGCCCCTGTGTATCGGATACCCATCCCGGTATAATTGGGTAATAATCGAAAGGCAAAATGGTTCCTAGAAGCAAAACCAGAGGGAAGGCAGGCCCAGGCTGTTGTATTGTGACTACATGGGGAGACTCGGGCGAGTCAGAGGCAGCACCATGGTGGATATGAGGAGGGCCAGTGATAGAGAATACCTCTACGCTGATGGCACTAAGGAGGTGGCAAAAGAAGATGACATGAAATGATTGTGTGTGTGTGTGTTTTAATTGTAAATAAATTAATATTCAATAATTAATAGGTTTGAAAAATTTATATTGAAATAATAATATATTCTGGTTTTAATTTTAGTTATGTAGTGTTTAGATATTTTAATGTTCACAACGCCTCTGTTCCTTGAAGGATTGTTCTCATTCTGTTGTATTCTATTACTAGGTTGTGCAAGTGGGTGCACTGCTATAGGTGCGAGAGTATATATATATAAGTCCTTAATGTATTACTAAACCCGTTCATCCGATCGCTATGAAACTTTGGGAAGGTGTTGCGTACACTCTCGCGAATGTTTCTGGCATAGTACATCTGTCCTACGATAATTAAATATGGGTAAAAAAAATATCGCTATAGACTGTCGTTCCAAAACTGCTGGAATTATTTTAACGAAACTTGGCTAACGTCTCCCCCTTGAAACCCTCTCAATTTATGTGTACAACATACTTTCCCGAAAACAAGCTGCAAAAAAATGTTACAATGAATTCAAAATTTTAGTTGCCAATAACTAAAAAAGGTACACAATTTTTTATTGATAATAACCATATTTATTTAAAAGCTTCCTGAATTCCCTACAAAATAAAAAAAAAATCATCGAAATTGGACGATTTGTTGCAGAGATATAGTTTTAAACATTTACTACTGTTTCTTCGGAAAAGAGCATTCCTCCCATTTTTTTAAAATTATTAATTAATTGAAAATTTTATAATTACTGATTCAATTCTCTTTATGTAGATCAATACTATTGTACTCTCTTTAAATTAGGCTACAGATTAAATCAGTAATTGTTTATTTTTTTCATCACTTTTATATACACCTTTTTGACTTACGATCATTATCTTCTTTATTTTGTCAATATAATGTTATCACCTTCCCAACAAATTTTATACTACTTATTTGAATTATATGGATATTCAAGATATTTTGAAACAAGGTATAGAAAAAAAATATTCAGAAGTAACAGCCATCATTTTCAGAAAGCGGAGGAGAATACTCAACCACACTCAAATCAGAAAGAGTAAAAATTTTATCACGACTTACCTATGAATCTAGTAATTTGTCAGGATAACTTTACTATTCCTGTTTTCCATTGAACAAATGAGAGATAATCCAATACAAAAACATCAACAAATAAAAATAAAATTGTGGAACATTTAAATTGATTAAAATAAAAAATGAATTCATAATATTTAATAATGAAAAATAAAATATTTTCT